AGAATATTTTCAGTAGCAGCTTGTAAACTGGGATGCAGCTTGCTGAATTGCAGACACAGATAAACTTGCGTTATGTGTAGATATATTTATTGTTAAAATATCTAAGATGTATCGGAAACATATTTCAGTTGTCAGCTGTTCGGCTTGTCAGAATCTCAGTGTTGCTCTTTGAAATCAGAAACTCTCTCCCATTGGCCTAATGGCGTTGGTATTCTTTTGGTGGCCATTGCTTAGTTTGCACCTCATTTTGTGCTTCAGAACATTTTCATTTTACAGTGGCCACCTGCAATTCTAGTTTATGTGAGTTACACCATCTGGCTGCTCCAAGAAAACTCTCACATTCTGAACCATAACTTTGATTCACCTACTCAAGTTCCTCATATCAGATTTATTGTGATACACTTTTGGCAAACAGGACGTCTCAAACACAGTTGGTGAAACTAATAGGACAAGTGGGTGAGATAAATCCTTTTCCCTGCATATTTATCTAATCTGCTGCTTCAATTTATTTATGTCTGGGGAAATGTTCTGTATTTAAAGGTCTAGGGAGCTTTTAGTTTTTTTTTAAACAAACCAGTAAGTAATCTTTTACCTTCCCCCTCAGCACTTCCAAATTTCAAACCGAGTGCTGAAGTTTTAAACGGACTTTGGAAAAGATATAGAGCTCCTCTCCCAGCGGGCATATGTGTTTGGTTGGGCTAAAGAACTAACTCACTTGCCGTCTAATCTTGGCTGCATTGATCAGACCCCCTCACGCGTGCTGGACCTTCTGAGCTCAGTGGGCCACCATGACCAAGCTGCTGAACTGGCCTGGGTTTTCAATTACGGTGAAGGAGTAATTCATGTGACTGTCTCTTCCTGAAGTGATGGAAGTTGTTTCAGACTGTCTATCAGTCCTGCTTCTACCTCAACACAGTGCTCTCATCTCTGCATGAAGAGTTCAATAAAGTCAGACACTTGCTGTTCTGCTTGAAAGCCAGAGCTGTAACATGAAGTACCTGCACTAGACCCTTTTAAGGCACTCCTCCCACAGTCCGCAGAACCTGTTGCTCTGCTGTCAGCAAAGTCAACAGAAGGCCATCAGTCATGTCAGGTCAGTCAGCCGAACTTTCTCCAAACCGATATTTTTTCATTTACAGGACTGGAGCTCATTTACTCACACAGATTAACTCCCCCCTTGCCTGTGTACGTGCGTTTTTTGAGGACACAGGTTAATTTATGTAGTGCAAAGTGATATAGTGAAGTTGCTTTATAATTCATGATTGCAGTGACCTGCTATCCACAAGAGAGTCAATGTTCTGACTTCAAACAGCCCAGCTTCAGCACGACATCTGTTCAACGAGGAAATGTTGCCTTTGTTAATAAAGTGATGTAAATTGATGTGACAGACTAAAGCTCCTGTACATTATTTGTCTCACTCAGGTGGTATGGAAGTGTGACAGGATGCCCCTCTGCAGGCTGATGTTACAGATGAATGACTCGCAGGGCAATAAACAATGAAAGAGAAATAGACAGTTGGTTTGTTATTTAAAGTGTTAAATGATGCTGTTTTATGTGTGGATTTGATCAAGTAAAGTTTCATATTTGGTGTGATTCCAGCTCCTGTGGGCACATGAACCTGCTTGCTGACCAGAAAATTATAGGAGAGGGTAAAGCATCTGCTGCCAAACCAATACTTCTGTGGCTCTTACCTGTTTTATGTAGGCGATCTGGTCTCTCTGATCCCAAATTGTTGGTCTATGCTGTGAAATGAAGTGTGACACTTCTAATTTTTATATCATCATGTCATATCAAAATATTAAATTCAAATGAATCTATGATGGACTGACGACCTGTCAGGGGTGTACCCTGCCGTTCCACCAGTGACAGTTGGCATAGGCTCCCTTATCCTTTTATAGACAATGAACGGATAACAACATGTAATGTTAATGTGTTTTTTTCCCCTTCAGGGTCAAAAAAGAGCTGGAGCCTTTCCCAGCACACACTAGGCAAAAGCCTCTGACAGTTTTTGATCTGTAATATTTGCCTTTATTATTAACATTCCAGTCAGCAACTCTAGTAACAAATGCTTTTATGGAATCATCCATCTGTTTAATTGCTGTTTCTAAATGTGATGACAGTTTTATTGATGAGGCAACTTAATTCCAACAGCTGATAAGGCTGGATCAACGGATTGGGGAGAGTGGGACTGAATTGTAATGCGGACTCTTGTGTTTTTTTTTTATTGGGTGACAGAATTTCTTTTCTGTAGTCATGATACCTCTTCCCACACATTATTTCACACTGATAATCTCCTCAGCCCTAAGCCCTGCATGTCACCATTATGCTCTCATTTATTCTGACATAATGACCAAATTTATCCCAGTCCATTTACCCCCAAGGTTTCAGATTTACTCAACATTAGAGTTGAAAAATCAATGTGCTCACTTTGGATGTCAGTTTATCCAGACGATGTAGCGGACCTACTGCAGACTAAAATCCTTTGTTCCTCATTACATCTGTGAAATCCATGGGAAGCAAAACATCTGGCATTATTATTTGAATACAGATTTTCAGGTGCCATCATCGGATCAATTGTCTAATCATCAAAAGGAGAGTCCTCACCCCGTATTATCAGATAGCTTTTTGACAGCCTCCGTGACATGCAGGGATTTAAACACCTGTCTGCCACAGCTACAAAGTGAATATTGTATGACTGTGTTGATGCGCTGCATGCAACAGCGAGGCATCCATCAGAACAAAGGAAATGTTTTCTGTCTACAAGGTTTTTGGCACATTACATCTCACTGTAATTCTGGATTCTTCCCAAGTTAATGCATAAAGTAAATTGCCACACCGTAGAATGGGCTATTGTGTAATTTGTACTAATTTCCAGACTACTCCAAGTTGTTATATTTGGAATGACTGTGTCTGTGTGGGTTTGACTTTTGGAAGCTATGCAGGGAATTTTATTGTGAGACTATAAATCTCTGCAGTCCGGCATGGAGAATGTACCCAAGCAGTAACAGGTCATTGCAAAAATAAGTGTGCATAAAGAATTTCATACATTCAGCACACCGTAGCTACAGAGTCAGAAGTTTCCTACATCAGCTGTAAATTATAGAGTTTGTTTGGAGAGTCAGTTTGTTGTGACGTGATACAGAGTTATTGATTCATTTTCACTGAAAAAGGTGTAGTATTCATGGACACCCTTAGAACATTTGTATAATTGTGAAAGAAGCAAGGACAAGATAAAGTCTTGAATTAATTCTTGGAATTTATTATCTTGGAAAGATTTGGGTGAAAAAAAACTCTTATAACTAGAATATGCTTTAGATCCAACCAGCATATTGACTAAAGAAACTTTGACAAGCAGCTTCCAGTTTGAGATGATTTATTGACCAAACTGAGGAAAGCTTAGTTCTTATTCTTGTACAGAATGAAAATGTAGGAATCTTTTAATAACAAGGACCTTTCTATGTAAAACTTCCCGAAAACCTTTTTAATTTATGAATCTGAATGAATTTTTGCACATTTTTGAAAGCGTTTTATCTATATCATCCTGATTTGGACCTACTCGTTGCTATTCTTTTTTTATCTAAATATTGGAATGGTCTTTTCGTGTGACTGAAGTATCTGGTTTTAATCTAGAATAAAAATGTTGAGATTGATTTGTTTGATATAAGCCTACCATTGAAAATTTTCCATCATCTGTTAGCAGGTGCAGTGATGAGGTAAAAACATAACATTTTTGTTCACCTGATGGAATTCTTTCTTGTTATAAAGAATGTCACCCCAAACAGTAACTCCTTTTGCTTCTTAGGAAGCACTGTAGTGCTGAAAAATGAACAACATACCAAAAATGGCTTACCCCAGAGAACTGTATGATGTGTAGGCTTTATGGCCGCACTGTGGAGGCAGAGAAGTGCTTATGTGATTAATTTGTTTAAAGATGAAGCAGCTGCATTTGTGTGAAATGACCTAATGTTCTAGTTTATTTTTCAAGAAACGGCGAAATTGAAAAAAAAATAGGAATGTTTCCTATTCTTGACCCACAACAATGAAGGATTCGTCTAATCTAAAGAATTTAATGTTGAGTATAAACCACAAACAACTATGACATTTCTTTTCATTTGGCAAATCAGAAACAGAATTTTTTTTCACGCCAGCTGGGTTTTAAGCGCTCGAAAATAAACATGAAGTTTATCACCCCTTGCGGCTTTTAATAAAATAAAGCAACGTCTGTCAGACGATCGCTGAGGCCTCCTGTCACACTTTGTGGAACATTAATGCTGCTGTTCAGCACTCATGAAACATTCCTTTCAAGCTGTAACCTGTTTGATCTGTTCTGTAGGTAATTCTCATGCTGACAAAATACTACGACCTCAACTCTGGCAGAGTAACAGAAAGTTCTTTATGGAGGTAAGCTCTCTGTACTGTCATGTCTATGTTCTTAGATTCTGCAGACCAAACACGCAACAAGAACTCTTATAAGTGACAATTGTAAATCATATTCTTATGTTACTCTTGGCCTTTCTTTTTCAATAATGTTTTAAAAAAATATATTTTCAGTATGAGTATTTTAAAGAAACCTGCACCCCAATGACGCCATAAGAGATATAAGACCGTGTAGAACAATAAAATTTAGATTTCACAAAGCAAATATCTTTTTTGATATTATATTCTATCATCATGATTTTTTTAATAAAAAGATATAATTGATTACGTTGAGAGCAAAATCTTTTTCACCATTCAATTGCCCATTTTTCAATTGCCCGTTTTTAAAAGTTATTGGAAATATATCAGTACCTCAGCATTAACTTTATTTGGAGTGCGGTATCTTTTTGTTTATTCAGATCATTAAAAAAGTATCCAATCTTTTCACAAATTGCTGCGGGCCTGCTGCTGTTGCAATTTTCTGCTTTCCTGAAATCCCTAATTATGCCATCAGTGTCTTAATTAGCTGGATTTCTTCTGTTCTCCTCTACTCTCCACCAAAACGTATTTACTTTGCCCTGTAATTGAATTTTAGGTCAACTGATTATGGCACCACATATGAAAAACTTAATGAAAAAGTCGGGACCAAAACCATACTGAGCTACTTGTACGTGAGTCCAAACAACAAAAGAAAGGTACGTTTTCAGCATGTGTATCATGAGAAATCTCTCGCGAATTGAGAAAATCTTTCGACACATTATCATTTTGACAACATAGCGGCCACACGGGAGCCGGCAGTGTGTGTCTACGGCGAGCTGTGCATTAAGCAAGCTCACATAAGCCCTGTGGAATGAATGTCGTCAAAATGGAACGCTGAATCCGCCGTGTCTTCTCTTGTCTCAGATAATGTTGCTGACTGACCCTGAGGTGGAGAGCAGCCTGCTCATTAGTCTTGACGAGGGGGCGTCCTACCAGAAGCACAGCTTAGCCTTTGATATCCTCAGTCTGCTTTTTCACCCCGAGCAGGAGGACTGGATCCTGGCTTACAGCCACGACCAAAAGGTAATGTGTAGGTGTCATATGGTATGAAAAATAGAATAACACTGAAAGTGTGAAAGAGCATCCTTATGAGAGCACGAGGGCTCCTTTGAATGTGTATGGGTTTGGCTGCAGTTGTCAAAGCTGAAGCCGTGATTACCTGTGCCCCATACTAAGCCGCCGGATCTGGATGCAGACAGCTTTGAAGGGATATGTGTTAGAAAGCACTGGAGAAAGCTAACAAGGGAGACACACCCCAGACAACCTATGATTTCACACAAAAAAAGCTCTGAGCCGAAACACACATCCTTGCTGTGTGCTTTACTCAACAGCAAAGACGTCAAACCCATACCGAGTCAGCCTCTTTCTACCAAATTACTTGACTTTTTTTAAAGAAAGAAAGAGTCAAGGTCTGAGGAGAGAAATAAATAAGGCAGCGTTGAACACGACCCCCACCCAAAATAAAGATGCCTCCGGGAGGTTTGTCATGTATGTCTTTGCAAAGCTGCATCTCAGCAGTTTCTCCTTTTATCACTGACAAAAGGAACTAAATAAATCTGAGCAGAGTTTCATTTTACATTTATTGATTGTCTGTCATGTCCTTTAAAAGTTGAGAGCACTGAGATGAGTCAAAATGACTCGGCTGATTCTTGTAAAGCTGAAAGCTTAAGATGCTTGCAGATCGATCACCGACACAAGATGACAGGCCGTCAAAGTTTGTGGACACCAGTAGAATTATTTTATAGAGACAAATTACAGCATCAGTGAATGAATTGTCTGGTAAATAATGTTTCATTATAGGCAAGACGAAAGTCTCATAAGGAACCTTCAGAAAATATATTAGTTATATTTGATTCTTTTAAAACCTGGGTTTTAGTTATAATATGGCTTTTATGATATGGCCTTCAAATTCAACTGGACTTTGTAGTGTGGACAATAATTGTATCTACTGTACCTCATCACTGATTTGTCTGACGCATTGTCTGACGCATTGACATTTTTCAGCTCTATGTCTCCGTCGAGTTCGGGAGGAGATGGCAGCTTGTGCACAACGGCGTCGTTCCCAACAGATTCTACTGGTGAGATGAACAGTCACAGAGCAGAGAAGTTGTGCAATTTTCTCACCAAATTTCCCTTCGGGGATGAATAAAGTAATCTATTCTATTGTAATCATAGAAAATACATTGCATCAATTCATTTGTGTGTCTTCATGCAGTGTGCTTACAGTCGTTGCACGGAAGGGATTTGAATGGGATTTGAAAAATAAAAACAGATAATGATGTAATAAGAAACAACACATCACATTTTTGAACATCATTGTGTTTTGCTCTTCCTAATTGCAAAGCAAAGCTGTAGAAAGAAAGTTTTTGTTTTGATAAAAAGTGAGTTTGGTTTACACAATGAGCTGAGTGTCAGATTTACTCAAACAGATGAATGCTTCATCCGCCTAATGCACTTTCCTCATAAAATACTGCTGACACAGTGTTGAGATACCGCAAAGTTCCATATCCAAACATCAGGTGTCAGTTTTTCTTTAATTTGAAATGAAGCCTCTTATGTACACAGAATGATGATTGAATATTTGGCAAACGGTAATTTGGTCTGCTTTGGGTGTTTTAGAGTTATTAGCTCATGGAAGTTCATACAGGCATTACGGCTCAAGCAATTTGTACACTCTTCTCCACATAAGTATTCACGATAAATGCATGCATTGATTAAGAGAGCTTGATTGACCTCCTGTTGAGCTGCATAAGTATAGAATCTTAGTTTTTTAAATACACAGAATTATGTCACAATAATCTTTAGTGACAGAAATAACTAATTTGAGGTAGAAAATCTCAAAAGGCAGTCTGCTAAATTCTTTATCACACCTTATTGCTCTATAATATTTGGGTTTTGGATAACTCCAAACAGCTACATGTCAGTTTTCCTCCAAGAGGAAACACCTGGGCATCTTAAAAAGACAGTGAAGTATTGTGCAATGGTGACACAGTTTGCAAGACATGAGCACATTTACATAAGGGGAAACTGACAGAAATGGTAGATGATGTAAGAAGAAAAATCGACAGTATATCTTTTTTTTTATGAGAAACTACCAAGAAAATGTCCCAAAATATGATAATTAATAAAATATGGAGCCCATAAATTTAAATAGAATTACAACTCCTTCTGGTCACATACAGATTAAGTCATTACACAAACAAACATTTATCAAAAATTAATGAGGGCGTTTATTCTTGTGTGTAGACAGTTTCCTTTGTCTTCCTGGGGATAAATCAGACGGAATATGCCATAAAAAGCTCTGCATGTCAACAATTTATCATGAAATGAAAACTTTCATCAAATCTCGCACTGCTTAACTTGTTCAGATAAATAAAACAAACGTGATTTACAAATAAATGTTGACAGGAACCCTCAGTGCAGACCTACAGCAGCAGTATGTGTCCGGTATGGAGGAACACACTGTAACACTGTGGGGCTTTATTTAAGAGCCAGGCCTGCAGTTCACTGATAGAATTGGATGAAGTATTTGACAGAAAGTCCATTAAAAGAGATGGAGCTGTGGGGCAATTACAGAGTGCTGAGGGAAGCAAGATGGGAGCTTTTTATATTATAGTTCAGACACAGTATGGAAAATGAGAAGAAACCCATCTTCTGTCACAACAGCTGCTATTAATACAACAAGTGGTCACTTCCGTTCCTCAGCACTTAATAGATGCCGTGAAGGATCTCTGGATCAAGTGAATGAAATGGCTACGCACATCTCACACAGAATGAGCAGTACAGATCAGAAGATCCTGCACACTATCTACAGAAAAGAGCATTTTTTTCTTTATTTTAGTTTATCATTTTCTCTTTGTAATGCGTTGAGGCAAACGGATTATAAAGTTTTGTCTGACTAAGGTGGAGGAATTCACTTTAAAGAGACATATGGATATATAGGCCTGATAATCGAATGAAATAAAAAGATCATCACACTGCCACACAGCAGCAGCCTGTCTTTAAGTCCTCGGTGTTCATGTTCAGGAATGGTTTACGTTGAGTTGGCTTTAGATGTTAAATTAGATACCTACACAACTATAATGGTTTCGCTAACTGTTTATTTATTTATTTTTTGGTGTTCTCCACTGCCCATGATCCTTGACTAGGTAATTAAAGAAAGAGAAAAGGAGAGGGATTGCTGCTGGAAGGCTGTTTATCACAATAGCAGACTAAACTGAAAATACAACACCCACCCTGCCCTAGGAGAATACTCAGTTTATTGATTTTATGTATTTAATTAGCATATTGTGTTCTCTTGTAATTTGTGTTTGGTGATTTATGTGAACTGCTGTCAGAGTGCAGCTTTTTATTAAATTGTGGATTAAGATAGAGATTATTATCATTGTTCCCTTGTGTGGCATCACCATGCTGGAGTAGGTAGACTCCGGTCTATTACAGTTCAGTACTGGTGAAAGACCATCTTGCCATTAGCTGTTTAGGCTTGAAAACCCAAACAAATCACAGTTTTGAACACTCAAATCACAGTCGTTCTTTATATTTCTTAAGCCCACAGTAATTAAGCATTCTTTCATAATTTGATATGGTTTTCTGGCTTGATGGTGGCAGTGTGCTTTAATGAATTCATTCAACTTGATCATAAAAGTTTGTGGTCATTTCACTCATATCTGAGACTAGTTGCTTTAAGTGATTTTTTAAAATCTGGATGCACTCTAAAATATGAATCTATCATAAAAATAGCAATTTTGAAGAGACAATTTTTATAAAAGCTTAGTGTGAGTAATTGGTAAATGCATATTACAAAAAAACATGATATATGTCCATTAAAATTTACCATCTTCATTCAGTATGATTTATTTTAGTTTGGCTAATCTAGTTTATCACTTAACATTAACACAGCATTTTGTATTTGTTTAAAAATATTTAGCATTTTTCAAATATATTTTCCTTTAATTCTTTAATTGAATTGACTAAAATCTTTTTTTCTTAATTTCTTTTGAGAAACAGTTATGGTGTAATAGTACTGTTATTACAATTACTATTAGAGCTACAAATACTACTGATAACACTAATTAAGAATAAAGGAATATTGATGACAGTAAATGCCCAGAGTCTAGACCTTGTTGAGACTCCATCTTAGACAAATGAAGAAGATGGAGTTTGGCAGGTGGTGGGATGCATGGTATGTGGTCTGGAAGGAAAATGACAGCCGAAAAGTGATTTTAAATGAATAGAAAAGACACTAATTGGCTGTATGAGAAAGAAACAGGAAACCTAACAGACTAAAGAAGTGTGACATCACACTCAAACTGAATGATTTAAAAGAGGGAAGCTCAGATCTTCCTCATTAGATTTTTTCCCCATCTTCACTGAGAATAACACAGAAAAAAAGGTCAGGTTTTTAAGCATGAATCTAGAGTTTTGTATAGATGTCTCTGATAATTTTTCAGGTCCAGACTGGGTTTGGACAAAGAGCAAGGATTGATTCACCTGGAGATCAGCATCTCGGATGGACGTGAGTCATGATATACATTTAAAAGTTAAGATCATACATAACAGTTGACTTTTTACTATATTCTAATAACCTTAATTTGATGGTAAGGGATTATTATCCTTGTAAAAATTCTGGAGATTTACATGATTAAGATTTTTTGATGGCTGAGATGTGATTTGGCTCTTTTGTTGGTCAAAGTTTGGGAAAGAGGGAGACTTCCATATGGCCTTGTGTGCCCCATCCCTGGGGAGGATGCTTCATTTGGCTGATGCTAACACAGTGGGACAGCTCCCTCTACTTTATCTATTAGTGAAAATAAAGTTTGGCCTCCAAAACCTTGCCTCTGTCTCACTTAATACCACAAGCATAAGCAGTGTGAAACCTTGACTGCGGACTACAGATGGTTGTTTGTTTCTATCTTTGTTGTATTTTTAGCTCTTATTTCTTGCTTATCCACAGGGTCGCAGTACATAACTTGCAAGCTTCAGAATTGCTCTGATGGAAACAAAAGCAAGCCGTTTCCTGGTTTTATCATCCCTAATTCCCTTGTGGTTCAGGATGAATACGTTTTCATCCAGGTAGGATTTTATTGCAAGGTATGGCTTCATCAAAAGACAATAAGGAATGCTAAAGTCAATACTTTCAGCTGCATCTTAATGTACGGTCATATTTTTCATTAACTAAAAGGGGGCCATTATGTCAAGGAAAGATGTGGTAAAAATGAAATCACTACAGTTGCGTTCTGCCACTTTATACTGCTTCCTGATTAGAGACTAACCAAGGGTGTTGATGGAGGTTCAGACAACTTCAGATAAATCTTTCAGCGATCACTCTATACATGCAAGTTCATGATTATTTTTCATTTTCCTGTATTTCTGTGAAGGTGCCCGTAGGTGGTCAGTCTGTCCATTATGTTTCCTATAAAAGAAATGCTTTCTACCCAGTGAGGCTTCCCAAATACACCATCCCTAAGGTAAGATGATTCAAGCCTGTGACACAAGCCTGTTCAATTTATTTATTTATGTTTTTTGTTTGGTCAAACTTAATGTGATTTTGTTTCTTTTGGACCTTTTAAGTAGGTTTGTTCTTTGTGAATTTATGCATTAAAAAAAGCTCATTTTTCCACATTACATCTCTGTTATTACATACTTATTAATTGACCCATTCTACCTTTGTTTCCAACTTACCTGTAGTAAAAGATATTCACTTGAAAAAAGGATCTCAAGTTGTGACTCATGCAGCATAAAGCAGTCTAAATAAGTGCAATGTTCTTTAGCATTAAGACGCACTGATTTTCCTTTATCACAAACACAGCAGGGTGGCTTAGTAGTTTGAGTCTCAATGTCATAACAGCAGGAGAGCTTTAGTGCCTGCAGTGTTATTTTGATAAATCTGTCAAAGTGTCCATCCATTCATTCATCCATCCATCTATCCATCCATCCATCCACCCATTCAGCTGTGTAAATTGTGGAAATCTCCTTGAGAAGGACACATATCACCTACCACGCTTCCCAGAGAATAAAAGATTCAGTAAAATTCAATGAAGCCTGTCTTCATTTTAAGTGCTTGGCATGAAGAGCCTGATGTCTAATTGCTGTGAATCCCTACTAAATAATGTTAGAAGTGACGAGTCCCCAACTAGCCCCTGCTGAGTTTCCACCACTCTGAAAATGCATAATTTACTGTTTCATTTATTAAATATACTGAAACATACCGGCTAGTTAAATATCCAATCAACACAGGAGCACCCACTTATGAAATTGATATATTTAGGACTTGCAGATAATCAGCACCGATGATAGCCAGGTGGTCGCAGCGATCCAGGACTGGCACCAGAATGATTCCTACAACCTGTACATGTCGGAGTCCAGAGGGCTGTTCCTTACGCTGATTCTGGAGGACGTTGTGAGCAGTGGAGGTCCGGAGGACAATATCATGATAGACCTTTATGAGGTAGGCTGCAATTGTGCTGTGGGGGTGGGGCTGCCCCCATATTACATGTTTTATGTGACTGTGGAATGTTGAGCGGATTCATTTAATTTCACCTGCATGATTTTTATAACTGCAGCAACTTTTACAACAATATTCATAAACATTCCTATTTGCATATATAGATACATACATACGTATACGTCTGTCTATCTATTGAAATGAGTCACCTGATGCAACACGCACACTCACTGATATAACACATACACGAATACCAGTCAATCAGTCAATGGCTACTAAATGCTGATTAAAATCTGTTGCTCCAAATAAGAAAAATCGAGATACAAATTTGTTTTCTTCAGACTCTATTTACAATATTGGCAAGATTAGGTAACTAATGATAACAAATGTCCTTCTTATCAAACAGAAAATCTACTTTCAGTGCATTTTTGTCACTGAGATGTTTCGAGCTGTATTCAGTGATTTATTCATTATAATTTATTTATTTTATTTCCTGTAAATGGACACTAAAAATAACCTAAAGTATGCAAAGCTACACCATACAAATTTAAATTCCAAGTTCAGAAGCAGTCTCGAGCACCAGAAAGCTGTTTTCTCTTGTGTTTTCCAGAAGAGTACTCTCTGCTCAGATGTCTTGAAAATCTTCTCCATAATGAAACAGATGTTGACACATTGCATTCTTGTTGCAGCATCTTACTGTCTTTCTACTTTTCTCTTATGTTCAGTTTTGAGGTAACATACCTTGCACACATACTCACCATGCATTCTAAACAGCAGATTTAGCTTTTGCCCTGAACATATATTTGTGTTGACAGATCTACTCTGTGGTTGTAAGGGCTGCACACATGTATATCACTCTGGATTATGCTCATGTTCAGCTAGCCTAGAAGTATGTCTTTGCATACGCATACATGAAATAGCCACCAGCAAAGGCTGAAATGACCGCTGCTCACAGTTGAGGTTTTAAAATTGTATTTTTCTACCTCTGACAAAAAAGTTGTTCAGATGGAGAAATATAAACTCAAGTGATATATTTATACAAGACTACATGTCTGCACACGAGTACAAAGAAGAAGAAATATCTCAGGGCTGTGCCATATGTTGTTTTGAGTCTGCAGAGTCCTACAGATGGTCAAAAATAGTGCTCCATGTCAGAAAAGCTATCACACTGAGACGTCTCCCACTCTCCAAACTCAGGCCCCAGCTTTACTTTGGTTTGAATAATTTACTTTTTTTTTCTTTTTGTGTTATTTTTTACCCCTTACTGCTCCCTGCCTCTGCTCATAGGTTGCTGGGATTAAAGGGGTGTTCCTGTCAAATAAAGTTGTTGAGAACCAAGTGAAAACTTATATCACCTACAACAAGGGGAGAGACTGGCGTCTTCTTCAGGCTCCTGCAACCGATCTCCAGGGAAACCAGGTCTATTGTGAACAAGTAAGTGGGCCACTGACAAAATATAGATTTTTTTTTTTGTATTTCCATTATCACTCTCAAAAATACTGCATTGAATGATACCATACAGTCTCATGGTCAAAGACAGTGAATTCATCTGTTTCGTAGCAACACAGTTATGAATATGTCAGTTACTCAATAGATCTTCAACAAGGTTTAATTTAGTTTTTCTGCACAATTTAGGCTAACTGCTCTTTGCTCTGAATAAAGGCTTTACCAATTGAATCTATACTAAACATAGCTGTTACAAAATGACTGAATCACCTATATTTTTTATAAATAACTGTGATTTTTGAGTGAGATAATTTATCCATCCGTTTATCCCTCCCTCCGTCCATCCATCCATCCATCCATCCATCCATCCATCCATCCATCCATCCATCCATCCATCCATCCATCCATCCATCCATCCATCCATCCATCCATCCATCCATCCACCCACCCATTGTCTGTACTTCTTATTTCAAGCCCATCCCAGCTGTCATTGGGCGAGAGGCCGGGTAAACCCTGGAGTCCGTTTAGCCAGTCCACCACTATGCACACACACATGCACTCACTGTTATGGGTTCTGCAGTCTCCAATTAACCTAACATGCATGTTTTGGACTGTGGGAGGAAGCCGGAGTAAACTCATGCTTACTAACGGAGAACATGCAGAAAAAGACCCCCAGCTGGGGATTCGATACCCTGAGATCAGTTATGTTGTCATTTATTGAGAAAAAAGATTATATTCCAAATAATTTGTATTGTTATTTGCCTTCAAATTCTTATTTATTCATAAGTTTATTTTGTATCAAAACATTGGCACATAACTGCAGTTAAAACCACACCATCTGTCACAAAAAATGAAAAGAAATGTTAGGAGTGAACCAGTAGTGGTCAGCTTGGTCAGTAATGACATAAAATAAAAATGAAACTCTTGTTATGTAAGGGATTAATAACCATCAGTGTAATCTGACAAGCAATTTATTTCTACCTCAGAACAGGAAAGGAACTAGGAAAATATTGCTTAATGTAAACTGCCCTTAATCTACCATGTATACACACACATACATACACACACGCACACGATGTGATATCTCCCACTACATCTACAAAACCTTTTAAGTCTGGTGCTTTAGTAATGCTTTACCACATGAAATGAAAGCCTATATTGTGACATGTTTTAGTATTTGAAGCAGAAGTTGGAAAGAAACTCCAGTATAAGTTATAATTTGTTTTGACCTAGGCTGCAACTAATCACATTTCTTTCCCCCCAAATTATCCCTATTGATTTTTTTAAAGGATTTTCTTACATTTACATTTTTAAGTAGTCCATCATTCATTATTAATTATAAAATGCATTCTGTTGACATCAAGTTTGACCAGTACTTCAAAACTGTCTGTAGTATAAACTTAGATGTGATGCAGGCTTTTGTGGGAGAACTTCACTGAAATATTTAGACTTCAAAGCCGAAGTTTATTTTTCTTTGGCAATGAACATCTTAACTATACCATAAATTAAATACTCAATTCCACATTCTTTGTGCACCTTTGCACCTTATTAGTCTCATTCATTTCTCTTCTGCTGTCAACTAAGCCTTGGGCCTGACCTAAATTTAAATAAGTAACTAATTCCCCCTCCATAACAGTTTTAGTGCTTCATATCAGAACTCTGACAGTTTTACTCTGTGCGGATTTTCACCATGTTTTGAAATGCATTCATGTTCCATAACCAGCTTTCCTTTTTTTTCCCGGTTTGGCTTCTGCAAAATAATCTCCTTGTTTTCTTGCAGCCACACTGTTCGTTACATCTACACCTTCATGTTTCGGAGAACCCGTACGCCTCAGGAAACATTGTCAGCAAAGACTCAGCTCCAGGAATCATCATAGCATCAGGTGAGATTTGATTTGCACACATATCAGCATGTCCACGCTGCTGCTCAGGATTTGACTTAACGCTGGTCTTTGATCTATTCCCTTTTTAATTTAGATCCCTTCTTTAGTTCTGTTCACAGCACCACGTTTGTTTTTTGAGCTGGCAACCATTTAAGACATTAAATATATCTGTTCCTTTGTGTCAGTAGCAACAGTGTTTCCATTCTATACATACCAACCTGATTTGGAAGTGACAAGATGAATAATTAAAAACACAGTTAAATTAGTTCTGCTCTCCATTGCTTTGTATTCAGGTGTTGTTGGACCTGAGCTGACCAACACCAATGTCAGCATCTTCATCACATCTGATGCCGGGAACACTTGGAGAGAGGTGTGAAATGTCAAGCCTGTTCAGATTTTGCTTGGCTTCATTTTGTTGTCTTTTCTGTCCCTGTGCAATTCACACATTTTAACACTTGCACATTTAAAATGGTTGTACATGTTAGAATTCAGAACATGTAAGCTTTTTTTTCAGAATCCTTTTATTCATTCAACAAAATAGGTACTCTCTGTGATAAATGCTGCCGTTACCATGAATTCACTTTTGAATCTATAATCTATATAACCTTCATATCAGAACTTATTTGAATAACAAAAACAAGTACACAACTGGTGTTCATTGCATATGCTGCCAGCTTTCATTTCTCCCTTTTTAGTTGTGGACACCGCAGTCACATTTGCAAAAGAAAAAAAGTAGTGAGGTGTGACTGTCAACACTGTGCATTTCTGATCTTGGAAAAACAAACCAAACCAGAACAAATAAACAGAGAGAGTAGACAAGATCCTGCCAGTTCCTTTAGGCTCAATGAATCAGCAAAGAGAGCAACACTTGTCTGACATTTAAGTTTATTCACACTGTTGAGACTTTTCTGCGAATAAGAGTTGTGGGTTCTACTTGATCTATTGTATGACTTAAAGCACTTATGGTCCCGTTGTTGTAGAATAAACTTATCTCTTCTATGTTGTGTTCAAACAAAGCTGGTTATGTGTGCAGATTTTTCAGGAGGAGTACAGTGTGTTTTTTCTGAATCAAGGAGGATCTCTAGTGGCCATCCGACACACACCTCTTCCAATTAGGCACATTTGGTAAGGTTCTCAAAGGATGTCCTGCATCTTTTTAGAGACCATACTCCATCTTAATAACAAGCAGCGAGACCACTCTCCAGCAGAGGCTTCTCCCACTGACTTTAACTCCATTTGTGGTTGGTCTATCTCCCCAGGCTGAGTTTTGATGAGGGCAGAAACTGGGACAAATATAGCTTCACCTCCTCTCCGCTCTATGTCGACGGGGTGCTTGGGGAGCCTGGAGAGGGCATCCTTATCATGACGTAAGATATGAAGGAATCTTGAAAGGATTATTTGTTTCGAGATCATTAGTTGATGCACTCTCTCAATAGATATCTTCCTAATGATGACTGAAGAATCTGTTCCATATACCTGGTGTTTTGACCTTGCCTTCCTGCTATTCTTTGACAGGGTATTCGGCCATTTCAGTCATCGATCTGAGTGGCAACTTGTCAAGATTGACTTCCGCTCCATTTTCCAACAATGGTGCACGGCTGAAGACTACCTGACATGGCAGTTACACAATGAGGTATTGTAATCATGGCATGACATTAGTTTAAGAATAAATTTGTATGACCTGGCAAATTTCACATGCATTTCACTGCTTCTGCTGTGAAAAACCCTGTAGAACTCTGTGGCTTCAGAAGAGAACATTCACAAAAGTGTAGAGACTAAACAGGAAAAGTTCATTTGTTAAAGGTAATGAAAGTGAATCTACTCAGTTCTTCCTCAGTGTTTGGAAATTACTTTAACTTTACATATGTATGTATTGGAGAAACATTTATTCCTTTTTTCATTTGATAGAATTTGGAAAATTTTGGAAAGGATTATTACATCTGAGGGAACTTGCCACCAGAGTTTTAATATGTCAGAATCTTTTTTTATGATTGATGGTAGGATGGAACAAGAAATTCATAGACTAATTAGGGGTTTCATCAGCAGTAATGACGGTGCTTGCACTGTTCCATTGTTGTGAAGAGGGAACTTAGCTGAAGGGCATAGCTTTCAAATCACTTATCCAGCTCTGTTCCAACTAGACTGTTTCACTAGATTTGCGTATTGACCAAGAGAATGAGAGCGCAGACAAAAGCTTCTGAAATGAGTTTCCCCGCAGGGTGGTTGGACTCGGAGTAACGATCAGAGTGGAGCTGCAACTCCTCTGCATCTGTGGGAGTTTGCTGTGTGATTATACTTCCTGGTCACCTCCCTTTGTCAAGACTTGTTAAGGAAGATGTTCGTTGAGAATATAAATTATAAGAATATGTAATCTTTCATTTGTTTAAAGAACATTTAGAGGCTTAGAGAAAGATGGTTTTATTAACAGTGATCATTGTAATAAAACATTTCATCTACTGACAATTTTATTGGGTTTGCACAGTCGCCTCCCAGCAAGAGGGTTTCTGGTTTTAATGAACCTGCAATCCTATCATTTTTCAGTTCTGTCGTTTTTTATTACTGTGGCACATTGTCAAATTATTTCACAGAGGATACATACATTTACTTTATTATTACAACAACACACTTAGAAATTTTGAAAATGAAACCTCCTTGTGATGAGCATAGTGACTGTAACTACATTTTATTTTTGTCACGGTGGTCAAGGCACCATCTGACTGGAAATACCGACAGTTCAATTTTGATTTCATGGAGATGGTGAAATTCATCATCTGGCTGGACATGTGTTCAGAAATCTCTCTACTGAAGTCAGACAATTTTTAAAATTGCAAGCAACTATGGTTTCTTAAAAACAGTAAGACCTTCTAGGACACTTTCCAACTGTTATAAGACCACTGATTGAGTTTTGTTTTTACAGGTATGAAACATTTCCACTGTCTTTTTTTGACTTCATTAATGCAAATGGCTGTAAATTCAACTATGTTTAGGTTTCATGTTCTTTTTAAGTTTATATTTTTTTATTGTCTGTCTGTTTTCTCTATGTCTGATAATTTCCCATTTCTGGGATCAATAAAAATTCATCTTATCTCATCATCTTTTTATTCTCCAATGCTAACAGAGCTTTGTGGACTTACAAGCTTTGAGACTTATTACTAGACAGAAAAAAAACGAAAAAAAGAAATCAGACATCGATTAATTTATAGATAATCTCTTTGATTTGGTCTTACAATAAAAGCAAGATGGTAATAAAAGAAGAAGTTCTGATGTGTGTATGATTCATAATTCATCACAGGGGGAAGTGTGCATCATGGGAATGAAGAGAATCTTCCAAAAACTGCGAGCAAATGTTCGATGTGTCAAGGCCAGGGATCAGTATATCTCCCAGATGTCAGACTCCTGCACATGCACCGAGGCAGATTTTGTGTGGTGAGGTCCCTTCTCTGCAGCTATATTCTTTTTCACCTCATTAAATCAAATGCACAAGCCTTTAACAGTCCCCGCTGGCACAGTCTGTGAGCCAGACTGGAGGCACTTGAAGAGGAAGGTTTTGAAGATATTTTTTCATAATGTACAATTTTCTGTTGTGATTCTTTTAGCTTAGTAATGTTTTAAAAAGTTAAAAGCTTTATACATTATAACTTTCGAAGAAGAAATTTGTCTCACATTTTTGAAGTTGTGTTATGGTATGACAGATTTAGACTTATACTCCCACTTTTATAGTTGTACACTACTTTATTCGCCCTCACACTTACTTTTACTTCATGTCTCTGATGTGGATTGAAAAGCGCTAACAAAGTGCAAGCTTAACATCAGTTTCTCCTCGGAATTCTCCCAGCACCTGAGGTTGTGTTTCTCTGATATTGATAAAAGAAATACAAGACAGATCTCTGTCGCTAGGGTGTAATTATGATCTTTCTAAACAAAAACAATGCTTTTCTATTGCTTTAGATGTTTGATACATTAATCATCAAAGCGTTAAAAGTGTGAGAATTTGACTGACCTGTAATACTTCTGGTTCTGCATGCATTGATTCTTTCTTAAGTGAATTCTTCAGTTTAAGGTTTAAAAAGAAATAAGCATTTTTGATATGTTCTTAGTGTGTCATTTCCCTTTCTACAACAGTGACTATGGGTTTGAGAGGCAGAAGGATGGAAGCTGCACTCGAGCTTTCTGGTTTGTTCCTTCAGCAACATCTCGAGACTGTGTTACAGGGGACAGCTTCTTTAACACAACTGGGTATGCCTAATTATGTTACTGGTTCTGTATTGACTTGTGCTGACCCAAAGCAAGAAGTTTATAAAAGTATACTGCTTGAAAACAGTAGTTTGTGTACTGTCCGCTTTTCCGTTGTACAGTTAAAAAACTTGCGTGGATTATTTCTTAAAATCAGTAAATCTGTGATTTTTGGTTAAAAGTACCTTGCATAAACACTAGTTTATGTTGTGTTAAATTGTGGAAGAGGAATAAATGGTATACAGTGCTACCATATTTCTAATGAATATCATTTGATTTTAGACCGAGTTCTAATCAATGTCTTATATCAATTTAACTCTAGATATCGCAAGGCTTTGTCTAACAACTGCACTGAGGGGAGTCTGTTAAAGTATAGCCCCAAGCAACAGAAGTGCCCCAGTCAGGCTCCCAGGGGTCTCCAGCTCTTCACCAGTGAGGGAACACTGGTGACAACACTGGGAAAGAATGTAACCTTCTTGGTCTTTCTGGAAGAGGTACTTGTTTAATTTAAAATACATCTCTGTCCAATAAGGGACGGCTTGTACGTTTAAGTGAAAATGATTAAAGACAAAGAGATGTTGATTGATCATGCACATGTGCACATTATGCCTTGTTATTGGTAAATTGCTAAAGTCAGCTTCACAGAAGATGTCTCCGCTTGCTAGGTTTAGAATTACTTGCAGGAGATTAATCTTTTAATAACCTCTCTTCTGTTCTTTCATGCTGTACTTTGTTTCAAAAGCCACCCACCATTTTATGCTTTATAGGGAAAAACTTGTGGATTTCTTTTTTTGTGCAGCATATCAATTTACCATCAGAACCAAACACAGAGGCTTGAAAATCCGCATATAAAACTGATATGCAGTGACATGATTTTCAGCATGACCTCGTTCTTGTAGCTTTTCCCTGAAAGTGCACTCTGTTGTGAGTCAGGAAGGACTCTGAAAAACCCAGAGACTACTGTGTGACTGACAGTATTTTCTTTCTCTATGAAGGGTCTTGGCTCCATGACAAGTATAACAGTGGACTTTGGCGATGGAACGACTATATCATATGTTAACATAAGCTCCATCGATGACGGGGTCAAGCATATCTACAGTAAAGTTGGCATCTACCAGGTTTCAGCAACTGCAAGCAACAGTATGGGCTTTGATAGAGCCACACTGTATCTGCATGTCTCATGTGAGTCCCAAAAAGTTACCGGCCCTTGAAAAGTTGTTGCATATAAATAATTGTTATATCCCCTTTGCGTAATGGGTTGATTATATATGTTCACTCTGCCTGATGAGTGATTTGTCAGTTTCCCTAATATACACAATGTGTTAATCTTTATCCTTTGCCAAGGCTGATCAGAGACTATGAAATAAAGGGAAATTCATAATGGTAAACCATTTAATTAATTAAACTGAAAAGAATTGATATGTTCAAACATTCTCGGTTTAAAAATAGCCATTCAATTGCTCTATTTAAAATCCATATTTCAACATTGTGAGTGGCTTTTAGGCCATTCACTCATAAAATCACCGCTGTCCGGCTAAGTTCAACTCATTATACTGGTGACCATTTTATGGCTAAAGCTCATAAACAAACATGTCCAGGCACTGGATACACACTACAGCAGTGCAAACAGCTTCCACGCTGTGGTCACCCCTCCTGTAAAAATGTAACTACAAACATGGCCTCTGTGGAAACTATGAGCACCAGGCATGCTTTATATTTAGCCAAGTTTTAATAAAAGATATGAGTTTGCACTTCATGTCCAGTTTGTGTTTTCTCTCTAAAGGTCAGCTTGAGCAGGTGCGGCTCTCAGCGCCTTTGGTGGTCCTCAAGAACAAAGTGGTAAATTTCACAACACAGCTTCAGCCCAGTGATGTGGGAACAGTGACTTATTTCTGGTGGTTTGAGAACAAGACAGAGGTAAGGCCTTCTCTCTTATTCTATGCAATTCTCCTTGTCATTTTAGAGCCGTGATGGATACAAAATTGCTTACATCTACTATATTTTTCCTTTTAGCCTTTTGTCACCCTGGATGGAGTGATCTCCTTCACTTTCCATAAGGAGGGAAGTCATAGTGTAACTGTTCAGGCCTCAGCTGGTAATACTGTTCATCAGGACCAAATAAGGGTGGCAGTTTACGGTAGTTATTTCATTTCACATTTTACTCTCACACAATGAGATCATTTCAGCCTGCTGAAATCATAGATGCGTTTTGCTTAGAGCAATGAATTAGCATTAAGTAAGATTTAAAGCAGATAGATAATGTGAAGGTAAAACACAGTGAGGAATGCACTCATGTTATGTTCATGAATTATTTGACTTTAGTTAGCCAAACACTTATATTTGGTTAAAAACTAGGAGAAAAAATGGAATGTCTATGGATCTGAATGAAAAAAAGAGACTGCAAAGAAATAAGATATACTGTTTGGTTGGACTGGAACATTTAACCCTGATGCACAAATTCTGCTCCTACAATTTAACTGGTAGATTTTTTGACTGGAGTGTGCATGTGGCCATGAAGAGGTAGTAGTGACTGCCTCTGAAATTAGATCATTGATAATACATTGCAGCATAAATTTGATTCTTTCAAAGTTGACCTAATTTTTTCAATCCTTTTAATTAGGTATAACATTTCTATTCATGTTATGAAGATTTTCTATAATCAGTGTTTTTTTTTCAACCTGCAGTAAACAGATGTGTTATATGTTAATTTGTTTTTGTATGTTGAGTAGTTAAATGTATTTTAGAGGCCTGTCTTTGAGTGTGTGCTCATAAAAACATGATTCTGAAGGTCAGTATGGAAGTCCATCCAGACGTGTGACAGAATCTGTAACAGAAGGATGCTTACAGCATGTCACATACCCAATTACACAAACTTTCATGGGACATCAACTAGATATTCTTTTAATAAATCATACAGTTGACAAGCAGTAAACATATTTTGACAGCATGTGCAATATGATGATGACAATGATTATTATATAGTTATGAAGCAATTTAATCTCACCATTAAGGATATTTTCACCAATCACAGAGTGCGTACTGTCAGCTGAAGCCTTGAGAAATTAGTTCAACAGGAAATGAGAGGTGAAGTGATGCTTGATACTCCTTGTGTGTGACAGTTGCCACCTTGTGGCAGTCAGCGGAGAGGCATTCAGGTCGTTCATAAAATACAAGTGGAGTTATGAAATTATGGCATGACATGGCATGAGTATCCACATATAGTCCACATATATCTGTCTTTTTTTTCATGTTATTTACCCGAAATTGAACCCATAAGTATTCCTCAAAAAAACTTTTATGATTTCATACATTTTTCCAGCGTTTCAATCTGTATTTGATAACTAGCAGTTTATGGCAACCATTGTCATTGAAAGTATCTCTATTATGAAAAGGATTTATCCTTAAATAAAGATTTCCAAGGTCAGGAACAAAACACAGAGTTCAATCTTTCTGAATTCATCACCTGCTGCACCAGCCACAACAGAAAATGGATAAATGGACGGAATATGAATACATACATAAAGAAACATGTTTGACTTCTTTTTCTTTTTGTTTATATATGCTTTAAAAAAAATGATTAAATTAAAATACGGCATTTTATTTAATCTTTTTTTTAAGCTTCTGATAGACTTCAGTAGACACTACCGTAGGTTTTTAACCATCACAGGTTAATTTCCTGTATGCCAACATTGCAAGATTGGTGTGCTTTATCTTCTCACCTTCCTGTCTATTTGTATGTAATGAAGCTGAGAGTGCAGATATTCTTAGTATTCTATATGTAAGGATCAAGAGGAGATTTACAGGTCAAATAAATAAAATCAAGGATAAAAAAGAGCTTTCCTTTCAGATTTGTGATTGCAGCACAAACCTAACACTGTTGCCATTCTTTCTCTTATGAAATTCCCAAACTGCCTTTGTCTAGCTGCTCTTACAAAATATGTGAAGTAGATTTTTACCATATAGTGAAGATTTCTTTTTTTTAATTTCAGATTATTTCCAGTCCCATGCATTGGCCTTTTCCTCTAATCTGGACGAGCTGAATCCTGGCGTGTCTGAGTGGAGAGAGGACATCAGCAGAGTTGTGAAGAGCTGCATGGTTCAGGTGCACTCCTTAGCTGCTTCTGTCATAAAGGTCATCTTATGATATAATCACGACTAAATTAAAATGACAAAGGTCTTATATAGATTCTGGGAATCAGCAGATTGTCTTTCCTCATCAAGAAAAATAATTCTGTGCCTCATCCTGTGAGCAGCTAACATGATTTTTTATGTAATATCTCATTTAGTTATATAGCATTTCATGCAAGTATGATATTTTTTCAGATATTTTGTCCCTCCAGTGATTCAATGCCAGTGATAAGCAGCATGAGCTTTGTAAGGGCCTGAAGTCAGACCACTGGAAGCCCGACACATCTTTGCTTTGACAGTTGCTATTTACTTTATAAACAGATAAAATGCTGATGATAGCTAAATTAAAACCTCAAATAAATGAGGACTAACTTCACTTAGGTTTGACTGACTCTCTTTTCTAGGCACTGTGGTTACGTAAAAGAGCTGAATATTCTGCTCTTCTATATATATCAACAGTTGTCCTCAGTGTGAAACGTTCACTTTGACCTTCTGTCTTGTCAGATATTACCGCAGTTTACACCAGGAAACTGACAGCAGAACTCTGGTTATAGCATAAACGCTCTAAAAGCCGTGGCCTTTACCAAAGTCTGTCAGACTGAACTGCATGTTCACCAGAATCATGCCTTGACAGGGAATGGTATTTAGGCAAACGATGCATGAGGAAGAAAGCAGAAAATATTTACTATTAGGATATCCTCAATCTAAGGATCTTTTTTTTTTCTCTTTATTTTTTTTGCTGAAGTATCAACAACCATTTAAGACTATGTTAATTAAAAAACCCTTTCCAGTGAAAGTTTGCTGTCATTATTAAAGGTCACAGGAATCAGTGAGGATCAACTCCTCATCACAGTGCACCCCGGTTTACCAACCACAGCAGATGTTTTTCTTGTTCCTGAGAGGAGGTCAAGAGATGGGGCCATGGATGAAAAGTGGGTGCATGTGGATCAGGTACTGTCAGATCGTTTCATGGCTCTTGACAATGTTAATTTTTCTCCTGTTATCCCAACAAAAGAATCACACTCGAAGAAAACACGCATTTAATCATTTTCTTCTTAGGATTGACTGAAATAGAGCTTTATAGGTTAAGCATTATATTCACATATACAGATGATTTTTTCAGTTTTCTAACATACTACTTGCTGTTTATATCTTAGTTATAAGCAATATTACAAAAAACATTTTTTTCTCATACTTTTCAGATATCCATGTATTGCAAAAAGATTATTGTTAACACAGCCAGTGAAGCTCTTTTAAGCTCCTTGCGTTTTCCATGATCAGTCAGCATAATGCTTGATCGCAAAATGCAAAAAAAGCCATGTGTTTTCATTTGGGCTATTTGTTGTGTCCCTGAGCAGATTTTTTTTTGTTGAGGCTCAGACTGTCCTGCAGGGGAAGACACATGTATTGGTGCTGCTGTTGCTATGGTGATGTGTTTTCTTTCTGCTAAAATGTTTGGGTGGGTGATGTATGTCAATGTCATATCCCCAGGTAAGCCAGAACCCAGCGTTTGCCAGAACAATGAATTGTAATGTGATGATGAGAATTTGCACATCAACTATCAGCCATTTTATTTCTGTGGCTATTTAAGAAGAGATGTTACATCTGAACTGAACTGTTGATTTGTAAAATTTGTTCGATCAAAAGACAAAATTAAATGAAGGAAGCACAATATTACAGTTTTTCTATATGAAACATTTAAATAATTTAGCTTTCCGTCAATAAAGCAGTGTGGTCCTGATGCATCGCAACAATTCTTTGTTTCAGTTGTCAGCTTTCTGCTCAAGTTCTATTTTTACATGGAGTCAAATCACCACAAATGTCATCTGAGGTGACTTTAAAGGCACAATCCAATTCAAACCAAAATAACGAAGCTTGAGGAGACTGTGCCCCTCAATGTTAAAAAAACAGTAAGGCTAATTTTGGCAAAAATAAATCTAGGAATGACGCTTGTTGTGATAAATTGCCTTGGGTAGCCAAGTTTAAAGTTTCTGCAACTCTGTCTTCATACCTACGTTTTACTAAATAGATGGCACTAGCTGTGCAGTGGGTAGGAGCAACTACATATTATTCCTTGATAAAGGTCAGCAATAATGAGGACTGTACATTTTGTGAGATAATTGGGCTAAAACACGTTCACAGTCTGGTGTAGTTCATTAAATTATCACACTGAGAATAACAGTGTTGTGTTTTTGATAGGCTCATTGTTCTCAGCAGGCGTGAACATACATATCTTCTCATAAAACCCCATTCTTTCAAATGCAGGTCAATTGATTCTCCTTGTGTAGTTTCTAGGTGTCTGCAGAGCCACCTGCCATCTCCCATTTCACAATTTTATGACTCATCAATTCATCCATGCAGCACAAACTTCAAAGCTAATTTTTATGTTTTTTTTCTTCCTGATTGCGGCCATTGTTTCACAGAAACAACAACAAGATTTTGCATTTATGGTGCACTGATTATATGTGCAACACATCCTCCTAATGTTTCACGCCTTTCTCCAGTGCAATAATCAAAGCCGACGCTAGAGAGCAATGTTGCCACATGTAAAAGCAAATCTCTGTGAGGACACACGTCAGAGCATTGCATTGCAGACGCCTTCATTTTCAAAGTTTAGACTTTAATAAACCTTTAAGTAATTAAAACAACATTATTGCAAAGCATGGTGCCTTGTGGCAGTTATTCCATGCCTTCTGCAAAATAAGATTATTGGAAATTGATCTCTTGGTAGGTTATTTAAAGAAATCAAACAGGTAAACAAAATTACAGAAGAGTTGTTTTTTAAGGCACAGCGTAGACGAGCTCATTTATTCATCACAAATAGACATGATTTTGCAGGCTCACAGTCAGTCTTGAACTAAGCTAATAGGTATTTAATTACATTGATGCATCATATAATTGGCACCATCAAGAGAGGAGACAAACTGGGGCAGGCTGCTGGGATTGGGAATTAAAGAGATGTATTTTTCTAAAGCCTGTCTGATTACCTGGCAGAACCTCACAGACAATAGGGTAATAAATCTCCAGTTCACTGTTCTCATCTACAGTGAGTGACTTGCAGTGTGGAGGAATTAAGTGAGCGTGTGCCCACACACACATGTGCGTTGAGTGTATGTGTGGAGCGGCTTATTAAAATGTGTAATAGATTTACTGACCCTGATATGCCACTAGAACAAAAAGTAATTATTCATGCTGTGTAGAGCAGTCTAATTTTAACCAGTGGAAAGATTTTTGAAAGAGCGAGATGGAATTAGTGAGGCATGGTTAAGGACTCAAATGGGCACTGGGAAGGCATTTTGGTCCCTTGTTAAATGACTGCTTCATCAAGGTGTGAAAAAAACTATGGAACTTTGAGCATGTCAGGGAGAAAAAAATTAAAAAGGCCATTTTTATGCCATTAGAACATGCTTTGATTTCCTATAATGTTGACTCGTTGAACTTTTAAATGGGTAATTTGCATTCTCTTTAGAGTAGTATTGCCAATGAAATATAACAGTAACAGTCTCTCTGTGGTAGAAATAGCTAAAAGTTATTATTTTTATAAATGTCACTGCTTCACTACAAGCAGATCGCCCTTTTACCTCAAGATAATTAATTTGTCTTTAAACCCGGTAAAGTTCAGAAAAGCAGGTTGAGTTTTGCATGTCATATCGACAGCTTCCCCTCTTTAGGAGGAAACTAAAATTTAAATTCATAATTCAGATGGTTGGATGAAATGAATGGCTGAAATATTGATGACAGCAGAATGTTGCTGTACACTTGGAAGACACGTTCTTTTCTGTGTCACTCCTCCTCGTAGCTTTCCCAGGTTCTTCTAAGTGCTCTGAACCAGGACCTCATCCAGTTCACACTCAAACCAGGGGTGCAGGTGAATGTGTATGCAACACGGCAGTCTCCAGGTGAGTGTGCTATTTATGCCTTTGGTCCGACTCTGTGCCCTTCTGCCAGTTTTGAGTTTGACGACAAAGTCTGTCCTAACAAGTTACAATTTCATCATTAAAATAAAGTTTGTGTGTGATTAAATTGATAGTGTGACTATTTTAATTTGCTTTCATTTACATAATTTTTAGGCATTCATTTAATTCATGTTTAATATACAGTATAGTGTGGAAGTCCTCAAAGTAAAAACAGAATTTGTACAATTCTTACTGGCGTACATTTATTCTTCAACTCAGCCTGACCCCCCTTAATTTCTTTAACTAGCTTCAGGAATAAGCTATAGTTCTCCAGGCTTGGTGAATGATATTCCAAAGCTGAGCGTTTGAAATGTGCTGTTTTTGTTTTCCTGTCTGCCAAGAAAACTCAGCACTGCCTCAGTAACGTCTTTGTCTGGCTAGGACTCATCACTCCATAAGACAAGAGGTCTTATGGAGTGACATTGACTTTGAGTCCAGTACTTGTGCCATTGGGCATATCTCATTCTTTTGTTCCTGTTTCTTTTCCTGAAGAATGAATTTTTGACAGCCACCCTGTCATGGAAACCAATTCTGATGAGGCTTCAGTGAGCAGCAGATGATTTAAGTGAAGGGGCAGGTGCATCTCTCAGGTTGTGTCAGATTTCTCTCCCATTGCTGAAGGAAATATTCCACTTTCAGATACTCTTAATCTGCCATCAAATTGTTTAGGAATAATCTTTTTTTCCCCCCACTTTATCAGTTTCCTGAAATTTTGTAGACAAACTGCACAACATGCCAAAAGGTATGCCACGTTTTTTGGGAGAGCTCTTTGGGATAGACGCAGCAGTTCACTTTTTGGAGATTCCTAAATTTAGATACAGAAATACTGATACATTCTGACACATGAACATTTTTAGAGTCTTGTTTTGATAATATAATTTTATATTTTTTTACTAATACCCAAATTTGCCCAGTTCAGGATTGTTAGCATGGATCGATTCATCTTCAATAGCCACCTATTGTTAGTAAGAGTTACGAATGGGCTGGGGCCTATCACATGGGGCAAGAGGCGGCCTACACCCCCAAGTTGCCTTTTCATCACAGGGCAGATAGCAAGCAGCAGGATTAAAAGTTTGAATTAAGTTTTTGCAATGGAATTGTTTTACATAAAAAAATACATTCTTCTGTAAATGGTTAGGAAGAAGTACTGGATATAAAATAAGTTAAAACACAGTTGATGTCCAAGGAAAAGCTTTCAAAGACCTTCAAAGAGCCCAGAGAGCTACTGCTCAAGACCACTTTAAAAGATTACAAGAAAGTGGAGGCAAAATTTGCAGAAATGAAAGGTGGCTTGAGACTTTTGCTGAGTACTGTATATATAATTTATATTCCTATAGGATTCCTTTGACCTCTGTGTGTGCTCATTTAAAAGAATCTTCCCTCTTTAAAGCTCCTCTTGTGGACAACAGTGACAGCGTGTACAGCAGTACTGCGGTCATCATGCTCGTGTTCGTGGTACTGATGGGTTTCGCCGCTTTTGCTATATACAAATTCAAGAGGTATGGTACATTAAGTGCAGAAAATATGCTGTAAAGACATTTTCAGACACCATGATGCAATTAACTGTGAACTGATGAGTTATCGCTTTGTTGTCATGTATTGGTATGTGCGTGGGTGTGGTTTGCATAGTTCTGGAATTGCCTACATAATCTCTGAACAAGCACCTCATTGCCCAACTCTAAAACTTAACACAAGTACTCAGACTCCATGTATCTCAGAGCTATGAACATCTGCGACACAATAATAGCTGGAGGAATAAGACAATTCCCCTCTGTCTCAATCTGTGGAATATTACAGGGAATGACAGTCTAATCAATTCTCCCAAAGTGCTGAATGGGTGTCAGAGTCCTGCAGTTATCAATATTCATCCATCTGACAATGTGAGGGTTGACCTTTTGGAAATGCTAAACACAGTCATTCAAGGTGAGGCATCCTCTGCAGAATGGCAAGAAAGGTTGAGGAGATAAGTGTTGAGACAACATATATTATACAGTGAGGGACATACAGTAAATAGCTTTCTCTGCTGCAGGTAATCCCATGTCAATCACGGCAAAATGGTTTAGCTTCTCCGCAATGTCATTCATTATAAGATAAAAAAATACCTAACCTCAACATGCTGGATTGTAATTGCTATATTAAGGCATCAACCCTGAGTTCCTTCAGCTTTCTTAAATGTCACTACACCAGCTGCAGCATGAACCCATGAGGGGAAAATCTGAAATTAGAAATGCAAGAATTTAGTTTTAAGCAGAATTGGGGATGCATGGGAGGGAATAAAAAATTGATTGAAAACTGAGGTGAACAATATGGAAAGTGAGAGAGCAATGCCCAGTGGAATGCAATATGCCCTAGTTTCGAGCTTTCAAGCAATCCTTTCCATTTTTACCAGTTAAAAATAGTATGTGACACATTATGCTTAGTGAAAGCATTAGTGAAACAGACTTGATGGCAGTTTTCCATTAACTTGTTTTTTTTTTTCCCGATTTTTTTTTTCCTAACCTCCTCCTCTGCACGACCTGCAGGAAGGTCCCAGGCATGAACACATACACAGCAGAGCAGCCTGATAAAGAACAAGAAGTCATCCCAAGAGTGACCTCTATAGCCGTCCCGAACCCAGAGGAAAAGCTGACCTCGCCGGATCATGTGGATGTACAGCTGGACTCTAAAAGCAGAGGTATGTAGGGGGCTGTTTTCTGGTGAAAGCTTCAGGGCTTGTTTAGTCTTAATTTTTTTCAGTGGTTTTCAAGGAGAGAAGCTCTACTCTTCCTTTAGGTTTGTCTTCTTTCACTGTTTCTCAAGCAACTGAATATTGAAGTAATGATGTCAGAATTGTGTGATTACCTACCTGTTGGAGGTAAGTTAATACAAAAAGATATTTAGATATTACCTGATATTCAGAAGCTGTTATTCAGAAAGTGTTGTCGCTTCATTCAGACTGTCTACATGACAGACTTTTTCTCTCTCATTTCTTTACCCTCTTTAACAAATTGTTGTTTGCACATTGTCATGTAATAGATTATTGGTGTGTTCAAGTACGTATGAATACAAATTGTACATTTCATTCATGGCTTAGGCTTTCCATTTTGTTTTATGTATGTAGTGCCCAAAACCAAACTATTTATAAATAGTATCTAATATACAGACAGGTGACAAGTTAAAGACAAAAGCTGAACACAGAAAGCAAAAGTGACACAATTTAAGTCTTTTCAGAGGGAAGAGTCATTTTCAATCAAAACAGCTTTGCCCTGAGTGTTCCCTTATATATATGACGGGGAAAAAAACTGAAAAGACAAATACACCTCCATCCACAGGACATGAGTGGTCACCAAAAGGTTTAATGGGAATGGAATGGTGTGAATCACCAGATCTCAGCCTGTTGGTTGTTATCAGCCATTCGGGCTGACATATTGAACAGTGCTCTCCACTATCACCATCAAAACTCCAAATGGACCAATATCGTGGAAGACCTGTGTTCTAGCCTTGAAACAGAGACTTTTCTTGACACATTTGAGTTATTCTGGTCATCTGTCTCCATAGACACATAGGGGTAAGATGATGTTTTTAGAATAGCACAGAACTAAAGCTAAAACTAAAGTGTGAATGCATCTGTTAAGAGAAAGCCAAAATGTCTTTGTCTACACCAAGATGTGATTTCAGTTGAGCCGTTCAAAAAACATCTAATGATTCACTTTGTTGTACGCGGCTGTGGCAAAAATGCTAAATGCATTTGTCATCATCACAGCATATAAAGCCAAAACTTTGTGCATAATCCGGCAGTGCGTTTTTTGAATAACCTTTTAGCAGTGTAAGTTGTCACAACAGTGAAGAACTGTGGACACAAGTTGAAGCTCACTGACAACGAAGAGGCACTCACTTAATGTTAAGTGCTGATGGTATTTTCCCTCCTCCTGAATTGTCATGCAAGTTGCCAAGATGCAGCTACTATTATGTTCCATATATTTATGCATTTGCCATTGTGTGTTAGTCATCGGAGGTATTAGTATACACAGGTAAGTGAAGCACAATCAAGTGCCAGCTAAAGTGATGAGAATGTCCAGGGTGAATTATTTGATCCAATAAAATAATTAGCTCGCCAGGAAATCTGCAGAGTGGTGAAAGCATTTTCATCAAGAAATATCTATGAAGTTCCACTTGATTTACTTCTTTCCGTACCTATAGTAAACAATTGACGTATCCAAGATAAATGCATTTCCCTGTATGAATACACCCTTATGCAAATAGCAACATAAAATTCTTCCTCTGTCTTCTTCCCTTTATTCTCCCTCGCCAGGCTACCTGCCATCTCACACAGACATCAAGCTCTCTGATGAAGCGCCCCATGTGTTTTAATGTTTGGAGTCTATGACCGACTCGAAAGCAATACATCTTCTTTGGCAGTTACTTCCAGCAAGCTAGGAAACCGCGGTCACAATGACTGGTCTCGAGTGTTTTGCTACCCATGCATGGATGGACCAGTTCACACTGTGCTGCCTAAATCCCTCCGAGGAGACTGTACAGATTTATACTTGCCTCTTGAAAAGGAACACTTTTTGACTGAAATACTTGTATTTTTGCAAGGACATTGATCTTTTTATGTAAATAATGTACATCCATAATGGAAGAAGTAAAACCTACATGTCTCAGCTGGTTACAGCTGTGTCTGCTCAAATATGGAAACATCAAACAGCTGCACGAGAGGGATGTGTAATAATATTTAAGAAAATATTCTCCTAAACCTGTTTTTTGAGCTGGTGTTTGTGAAGTTTACTTTATGCAGCTATGTGGAACTAGCTTATCTGAGTAAGACAGTGAGAGAAGCAGATTCATTAGGCTCTTTGCAATCACTAAATCTTATCACCAGTTTCTCATCAAATGAAAGCTTGCAATATCCAGGAGATGATGGAGGGCCCCCAGTCGCAGATCTGTGTATTCCATCTAGCCCATCTCCAACCACAGCTCAAAATTTTATACATGCCACAACAAAAAAGAACAGAAGATGATAGCAGATATGTATACAGAGAAGATGAAACTGGGAGCTGTCCCTCTTGTACTTGAGACACAAATAAGTCATTTTAGTAGCAGTGGAACACCATAAATCTGGCTCTGGCTGATCTAAATCATTCATACAATTTATTACTCTAGGAGCAGGCTCATATGTGATTGTCCTATGGTTATTTTGGCTCGAAATTGTTCTTCATCGTGGTTTTTTTCCTCGTCAGTTTCTTGGGCGTTTGGTTTTTCTATTCATATGTGAAGCAGTGTATGCTGACGGCGAAATAAACAATCATACCAACGCAGTAAGAAAAACAATATAATGAAGTTAAATGAAAATTCATGTTTAAATTGGTCATGTGGTCACAAAGTAAAAATTCTTTGACAGACTCTTTTTTTTAATGATATTACTTTGAATGTTGCGGTTACTCATAAACACTAAACTTTCTCAGTTCTTCAGTTTATTTTTTCCTTAGTTAGTTCATGAGCACTTGTTTAGGCATGGTCGTGATTACAGCATCTTGACAGAGTATTTCCCAAGTTTTCAGTCATGCAGATGAGCCTGCAGTTCCTACTAGGTTTGCCCCCAAGGACACGGTGGACAAAAGGGTGTAGATTTGTTTCTCTCTTTCACTGCAAGGGACACAGGGATAGAGAAGATGTATCTCCTGTCAACATGGCTCAGCCTACGCACGGCGCTTCGGTCAGCCGCTGTCTCTTTGGAATAAGTACTCAAGATCTTCTTCATCAAACTTTTCTTCTTAAGTGTTGTCAGCATCATATGTCAGCAAGACAAATTGACTAAAGGCTTCTCCATACTTCTTCCCTGCAATCCTCTGATTGAACCAGAAGCATAAATAAACCCACATGAACTCTCCATGCAATCGTGAGAAGATTTAGTTTTTTTTTTTTGGACCTGTTATTTACTTACAAATTTTTCTTCATGTCCCAATAATTAACCTGTGAATATATTTGTGAACATATTTGCATGGTGTTTATTTTTCTCTTGCAACTACTTGAAATATGTCTTAAGTAGGAAAAAAAATAAATGTTAGATATGTGAACTAGAGTATTTTCTGTTTCTTAAGAAGCGGGACGATTCATTCATTACAAGTGAAGTGATTATTTGGTGGAGTGTTTTTCATTTGATCTTGCAAAAGTAACCATGGTTGCAGAATAAAGCAGAAACACATCGGTGATTCAGTGTGAATTCATTCTTTTAAGAAGAATCAGTTTAATATCGCTATTCAAAAAACATAGTTGACAACGGTTGCTCTTTATTGAGCACACTTCATGTCTTCACCCCAACAGATCATGTGTCTATCTGGCGAGTTTGATCCACACACATTGTTGGATTAGTTGCTTTTGTGCTGAACATCTTATTAAGTGTCGCTTAGCATGCTCAAAGTTTCACTGCAGCCATTTGCTTCATACAATAGGGCTGAGCGGGAGGACATTGAAAAGCACTGAGTAGCTTGGAGTGATTCTAATGGGTTGGTTCCCTGACTTCCCCACTGTGCAACAAATTAATTATCCCCTCACCAGGATATCAGCACACACACAATCAACAAAGAAGATTTCTCCTGTCCGGGTAGCACCTTGAATGAAAAATGTCCCAGAACAATAACCCACAGCAATATTGTGTTAGCCACAGTGTGAAATTGATGAGCATGTTTCCTTTCATTGAGTGCTACATTACAGTGTCTGGCTGCAGCGAATCATCCATTAGTGATTGTCACCGTTCAATTTGATTGTGTGCCGCTGAACATCCCAGGGCGGTTAGAGAGAGGCCTTGGAGTTAATTCAGACTGAAAGCAGGAGCGAGAATAAAACTCTGAGGGCGTTGATGGCTGCTGAAGTGATGGAGATTAGTGTGTGATACAAAGCTCTTGAAGTGGCAAACAAAATGCAAAACAGAGACTGGACATGTTTGCTCCAGCTTTGAACTGAGAGTGCTTTGTCCTCCAACCTGGCTGCTTGACATTTTAATGTAGTGTTTTTTTTTCTTCCATCACACAGAAGACTCTGAGTCAGAGAAATGATCATAGTTCCTCACCAAATCATCTATTTTCCATCACTCCAAAGTCACTAACTGTACTCATTAAAGCAAAAAAATGTGAACAATGGAGGTTAAATGAAGCTCAGTCTAAATGCCAGTTGGGAGTCTTCACATGGGTGTTATCACACCTCTGCCCATTAAAGCTGACTTCAGAGTCTCTGTGGGATCATTAAGAGCGGTAAGCTGAAGGCTGATACACTGGCTGTAAAAATGGACATGTGTATTAGATAACTCCAGGGAAGTGTAAAACGTGACTTTTTGAACGCATTTGATTTCATGTCTCCACAAACAGTGTAAGCCATATAATCTCACATACTCTTAGTTAACATATATTGTGGGTGTATGCACAGTAGGAAAACATAATTTCATATAAAAATACATTTATTTTGAACATTTTCTAAATGGTAATTCCTCCACAGTAAGAAATGTGATTTAAAACAAGATGCCAAAAAGAAACATCACAGATTAAATCATGCATGTTTGAGCAACTGCACATCTAACTGACCATAAGACAAGATGTTTAACTACTTGACCGTTTGTTTAATGTGTAAAGTAAACTTTACAGTCAATATATCATATTCATTGATACATACACACACACAATATGTTTATATATACACATACATATTGCGTGTGTGTGTATGTGAATTATTTTTTACACCCTAGAATAATCTTTGCATGCTATCTAAAAAAAGAAGACATTCAACTTGTTGTGAGACTAAAAACCATGGAAACACACTTGTGCCTGCTCAGTGGGGTCACTTTGACATAAAATATATGTACAAGTTTTTGACATTCCAATCTTTTAAGGCCAGGCTTTCATCATCTGTCAACAATCAAAGTAAGCTCTGCGTTACAGAACAAATCCACCAGTCACCCGCCAAGCATTACAACCATGAGATTTTGACATTCTGACATGTGTATTACAATAAAAACACGAAGACTTCTAGTTAGGGAGCATCTGGAACGTTTTTAAGAAAACATTCAGGACAAAGTTTCACTTAACAAATTAATTCCAACTCTGTGTCGCGGACAACGACTTATTCTGCTTATGCTCTAGTGGTTTTAAGATTCGCTCAGGATGGAAAAAGGAAACACAAAATATAGAGGGTTAAGCTTAAGATGTCACAGCCACGGTCATTTTGTGTTAAAGAGAAACATTGAAATAGAAAGAAAACACTGTAAACAGATCCTGTAAGATAAAAAAAAAACATTTGATATTTTCATTTTATTTCAACATTTCTTTTGGACCAAATATCCCACTTCATCTCAGACTACATGATACAACAAAGCCAATTCTTTTTTTTGTACTATTCTGTAAATTTATGCTACGTGTTTTATTTACATCATAACAATGGTTTATCTACCTGCTAACTTCATATTGTCCTGTTAAAGAATTATACAGATGTCTCAAGCAAGTAAAAGGTTTTCAGATTAGCGCAGTGTGATTTAAGTATTCATAAAATATTAGCCATGTCCAATCATGGCAGTGATAACAATATCAGCTTCTTTCAGCAGTTTTCCGCCCTGATCCTGGAGGCTGTGGCTCACTGGATGATTGTACTCTGATTCCAAAAACTGCTCATTTTGTATATGTGAGCTGAACATGACTCTGAACAACAGCAGCTATCAGCATAAAACAAATAAATGAACAATGACAACAAATCAAACTATTTCAGCATAATTGAAACACAACAAACTGTACTTACTCATTTACAAAGCACACGTGTTAGACATTAGTACAGTTTGGAAATTCCCTTGTGACAATTCCATCCATATTTCTTCCAAATCCTCCTGAAAACAATTTAAAACATAATAAAAGGGATCAATTCAGAGCCCATTAGCTCATCAGAAACCACTGCGAGTTCATATTCCGGCTTTGTTATCATGAAATACATATGAAATTTTGTTATCAACCAAATTTCATATAATTGTCTTCAACATCTAATTCCAAATTCATCAACAATGCATTCTGACTGAAAAGCCACATGTTGTTGGACCAAATGAACCTGGCTTGGTGGTGTCTTGGTGGTGTTGGTGCCTTGTTCAGATCTGTGATGGTGCACATGCTGCCTTTTAGAGATTAGGAACTTTTCTGCCGTAGCTGTGTAGAGCCGCGCTAGGCAAATTTCCCCCAAGTGAGTAATAACGGTGCAGTAAATTCATCAAGGTACAGATGTGGTTGTCAGTTTGGATTTGCAAGTAAAATAAAGATTTATGAGATGAAAATTGCTTTTAAAATCAGCATGTTTTACAACCAAAGTAAGCTGGCTGTAGCGCAATTCCAATTTTCAATGCATGTCAAAGTTAGAAATTAGGTTTTGAGTGTTTCAATTTTAGACTGGAAAGTCTTCTGAAACAAAGAAAAAATGTAATTATTTGCCATTGTTTCTATTAGCCTTTGCTTCGAATAAAAACACAGCCGGTTTTTCTGTATTTTATTAATACACACTATGGATTCATATTTATTCCACATAACAATTTTTTCCCTTTTAATTTTTTCTTGTTTCCTGTCTCCTACAATTGCTGCCCACTACTATATAAATCAGCTAGGTTCAAACTGATACACCTTGTGTTTGTGACAAAGTACTTCATTTCAAGAGTATATTTTCAAGACAGAATCTACCAAAAACAATGCATTTAGCTTATTAATGCATTTACAACTTTTCTTGTAAATAAATGAGAATATATCATATTCTAGATTGATAATCCAAAACTATCTCTATAGTTTATTCAAAGGAATATTCAAATATTGATTTGACAAAGATCATTGTCAACAGGTTTACGTGAAACAACTGCTCAAAACTTTCTGCCTTTTTCTTGATGGCTTGGGAATCTCTGCTACAGCTGTAAAATCCTTATTTTAACAGATAAGTTTCAGAACTGCAATTTTAAAAATCAACAGTCAACAGATATCACATGAGGATTCCTAATCAAATTGGCCTCACAATGTTTAATCATCCTCTGTCCAATTCTGATTCATGTATTCCAAACTTCATTTTAACCTTCATGAATTCTGACTGATTTAACAGCTCCAGCAGCACAGTGAAATTTCTATTATTTTCCCTGCGGTCCAAACCAAAGCTTATAGTAAACATTCTCTACTATATAAATCTTCAAAGAAATATACAAACATAGTTTTATTTAGTAAGACTGAAAAGTGGCCTGCTCCATGAAATTATGATTTTATAATATTCTTGTACAAATAAACACAGAAATACAGACTCTTTCTGCATCGAGGCGTTTATATACCAGCCAAAATCAGAATCCATGAAACTGAAACCAAGGTAATGAGTATAAATGATACTCTCTAAAAACAGGCCCTGCCTTAATTTAATCTGACCCTGGATCAAAAGGTTTCTTGCAGCTCTACTCTCTAGTAAATAAGCACTGTTGAAAGCAACCAAAACAGAGTTAATTTGTTTCAGATCAGCAAGGTCTTGAAAAGGTAGAAACAGCTGAGAAATGAAGAACAGGCAAAGTGCTGAGTGACCAGAAAAAGGCCAGCAGCCCACGTGTGCATCGGGGGCACTGCAGTGCTACTTTTGTTAAACAGTCCACACTGTGTGCATGGGCTGAATCCTTCTAAACTCATAAACATCACAGTGGATGTCATGCAGACCGATAAAAAGTTCACTTGTCATGGTGTTATCTGGGTTGGGTGCAGATGCGGCAGCTATGCACTTCATTTTGCAAAAAATGACACACAGCAGTGATAAAGATTTGCCTGCTCTACAGACGTGGGCTGCACATCAATATATTGCACAGCGGCAGCACTGACAGAAACAATGCCGTCTCCTTAGTTTGGATCAAATGCAACTAAGTTGTATTCAGATGCTAAGCGCTGTATTTCTGGGTTGGCGAAATGCTACACAGCGTCAGCCTCTCACAGTAACATTCGGGCTTTAAATCCTTTTTTTAATGGATTAATGGATGAACGTCGTTCAGAGATATTAATAGTCCATATTCAATATTGCTATGATAAAGAAACCTGATACACTGACTCAGAGCTTATTTTTTCCACAGATTTCTACATTCTGAATCCATCCAAAATCCAGTAGAATGAATGTTTTCTCCAATAGAGAAATTAAACTTGTTTGACACATGATAACGTATCAATAACAGCTTTAAGTGTACATGCGTTAATATCACATTAATAATTTAAAATACATTTTAAATGGTGGCAAAAACCTTTTAATACAAGGAAAACATATCTTTGTATCTATGTATATGTGTATATAATTGCTTACGGCAACAACTGATGACAACTAATAAGTGCAAAGGTGGTGAACTATGAAGGATTACCTCTCCTCCTGCTGTCCAGCTCCTTCTCCATGAGTTCTTTCTGAGTCGGGAACTCACTGAGCTTCACCTTGGTCATGGTGTCATTTTGACCCACTGTACTTATTACCTCGGGCTCTTTCTCGTGTCGGTCCTCAGTCTGGACCTGGATCCATGGGATTTTCCTAGACAAGACGATGCAAAAATAAAGATTATTGGTTTTAAGTTTCTAAGATAATCAGACACATCTGATTCCATTCTGTGAGCGGACTCACCTTTTAAACTTGTAGATAAAGAATGCGACTAAACCAACAAATATCACACTGAGCAGCATCAGCATGGCTGGTCCACTATGAATGGAGCTTGAATCGACGAGTGGAGCTTAAACAGAAGCACATTTTCATTGAGACTCATGCATTAAGACCCCTTTTTCCTTTGCCTGAGCTACAGTACATCTTATTACAAGGTGATGACTTTCATTAGCCCGTGCCATGTACCGACTGGAGTGACTGTTTGATGTGCTGCTCTCTGCATGTTATCCCCTCAGGGCCTTAAAAGGAACATTTAGGAGGTCCACTGCTTCTCCCTTGGGTCCTTCATGTGACGGCGGCTTATGCATAGTCCTGGCTTTTTAAATGCTGAAACGCAATATTCAAAGTTTTTTCCCTGGTTGTCTATCTTTCTCTCCTTCGGAGAAAAGCCTATGAAGTGTATGACCTTTCGAGATCATTTTAAAGGCAACCCAGACCTTTGTGTGCAGACACAAATGAAGACAGATCCATCGGTGGATGAAAAGGGTAAAGCCACGAAGGGCTGATCGACACGTTTTTGCAATATGCTAATAACCTGGTGACCCTGCCGATTTCCTCGATGCATACCAAATGTGTTCTTTGTCAATCACTTCATTGATCAGCTAACTTCCAACCAAGCTACTGTCTCAAAGCATCAGGTACAAAACTGACATGAATGATACTTCAGTCTTGTGACACACAGTCATTTCTTTATTTTTAGCATTAACTAAGGCCTTGTGTCAAACCATTACAAGGGATATTTCTATTTTGCCAACCTGTAAGCTTTAAAGCACAATGCTAATATGCAGACATAAACAAATATACCAGCCTGCTTTAAATCAAACCTGAAGCCTGACGATTAATGATTTTTTCCATAATTATTAAAATTGATAAAATCTCACCAACAGTACTTTTGGGCACAGACGCTGAACTATAAAGTCACAGAGAAACTTACCCAAGGTTTGCTGAGTCATGTACACAATAATGCGGATATCAGGTTTCAGCTCAAATTGGATCAACCCCTGGTTCAAAGTGGTGACAAAAATATCTGATATCTGTTTGAGACATATCACACACAAAAACAGAAAATGAAATAAGGTATCAAAATTTCAGTGGTAAAAATAGCTGAGAATCATCACTTGTTTCAGGTTGATAGCAAATGATTGAAATTAAATCTCGGAAATATAAATCTGAAATGGAGATACAAAAAAATATCCTGTGTCTACAATACAGCAGAATTATAAGTGCAATTCAAGCACTGATTTAAACCTGTGAAAGGGATTCTTGAGTATTAATATATATGCCTTGTTCATCCTAAAGCTTTCCATCTCAACTTCTAAGTTTCTGCATGGTTCCTGACTTGGCAGTTATCATAGTGCAGAATTTGAGTTATTAGAGTATAATAATAATAAATAATAATATATAATAATATAATAATAAAGGTAAATGACTCTGTTGGGACTGAAAACCAAAACAAAATCTTACGGGAGCATGTATTTTAACCATTAAGTGAATTAACAATTAAGTATAACAGGGAAAGTGATGAGCATCTTTTCATATCTGTGTTATTACCGTCCGTAGGGAGTCTTCAATCCTTCTCTTGTGCTCACTTAAAGTATGCTCATCAGGTAGGATAAAGAGCTCTGCTATTGTTGGAAGTCCTGGGTACACGGAAACCAGCAGCTGATCTTCAGTCACCCCAGACACCTGCGGTACATGGATAACACAACCAGCAGGTGTAACTCTCCTATGAAGGTTAAAGTTTGAGCTGTTAATTTAACTTTGAGAACCCGATAAGGAAATCCAACGCACTTCCCACGGCTAACATTTTGACATCAGTCTAGATTGAAAACCACACTACTTAACTGTCATCAGAGATAAGCTCGGAAAAAGGGGACCATGCAGCGTCATGACCGCTGTGTTATTACTGGTCACTGGTATAAAACAGTAATGACCCCGAAAGCCACTCAACTTTGATGTTGATCTCGGGATATATCTTTTGGGACTTGATGTACCTGTGACAGAGCTGTCCGCACCACACGGCCTATGTCCTCCCTCCAGTCGGAGATGTCAGGATTGTGCTCATCAAGAGCTGGTGAAAATGACAACAGCAGTGACCTGAAGAACTCTAGAAAAAAACAGTGAAGTCATGTCTGTTAGAATATGAATGCTACTTCTGGTTTAGGTTTTGATTAATCTGATGTGCAGTTTTGTCTTTTTTCATTTGGTAACATACGCCTTGAAGTTAATTGCTACTCCAGATTTCATGTTCACATTCCGTGACATTTTACTCATTAGATAGGTCTACGTTGACATCAACAAGGCACAGCTCGCAGATCTGACCGAAACGCATCGCACTTTAACCGAGATACTATATTGCATATTAATGTAGCTGACAATAAAAAGCCGGGAAGTCTGCCTCGTCTACTCACCTTTAACCGTTATAACTTTTGAGTCCTGCATCACAGTGCCTCCACAAGCAACCTGAACCGTGACCTTGTTTTTTCCTTCTCTGTGAAACGTGTGAGAGACACTTCCTTCCAATGTTATAATTGGCTGGATTTCAAAAGACAAAAAAAAAAACACACACACACAATTGAACAGGAAAACCTGCTGAATATTGAATACCATAAACACTCAGCTTTTGGCAGTCCGCATAATGAGTGCTGCAGTCAACTCAATCAACATGATAAATAAATATGACGAGCCAGTAGAGCTAGATCTTCCATAGGTAAGTCAGCCGCAATCACACCATATGATATATTGGAAAGCTACACAGAAATTTTCTCTTAAATTGGAAACAACTGCACAAGGACAGTGGGGGGAAGAGTGGGAGTAAAAGAGTGGAAAAGATGGAAGTAAAAAAAGGAAAAAAGAAAGTGTTCGTGAAAAACAGTGGTAGGAGGGAAAGCTTCTCACCTCGGAGCTGTTGTCAAACCACCAAAAGAAGGTCAGAATTCTTGTGTGACTCGGCCAAACAACCGCTGTCAGATTAGCTGCTTTTCCCTTGATGGTTACAATAGGAGCAGAGAGGTATACACGCTCCACTGGACCTAAGGCAGTAAGGCATACACAACACATGTTCACACGTGTATCACAAAAACCCACACTGAGCATTATTGTGAGGGCAGCTGATGCACATTTAGCTTTAGGTGTGCATTTGCATTTTCAAACTGCGATATTTATAAAAGTAATAGAAACGTGAAATTCAGCAGGGTGAGGACGCGAGTGTCCGTGACACAGCGGAGGTTCATGCTACGTGCACTGATGCAGAAGTGAGTAATGATGTTACTTATTCACATACTGGTGATGTGTAAAAACAGCGAGCTGCTGTCAGATCCCTGGCTGTTTTCGGCAGAAGCTGTCACTCGGTAAATCCCAGTCGTTCTGTATATGTGCTTGATGCCATCATCGGCTCTGCTCAGGTTGGAGTATGTGATCTTGATGCCGTCCCCAAAGTCTAACTGGATGCTAGTGCTCAGCGAGTCTCCCTGTGGACACATGGTATGACACAGAATCTGTCATCTTGGCTTAGGCCAGGACACTTCAGTTTGGCCATATACAACCAGAGATTGCTCAGCCTGCTGCTTAAGTGCCCGCGCTGTCCTTTAGGCTGTGTCAGTAACATATTGTTTGTGAATGGTAGGAGACAGATATTCAACAGAGGAAACAACGGAATTCAACACAAGAAAAAGTCAAAAGGGGGCCAAAAAGGTCATCAAGTGTAAAAAAACTAAGAAAATACAAGTTTTAAAACTATGTTTCTATATTTCTGTCTTCCTCAAAACAAGTTCATTAACAGTAATCCAGAGTTTACACGCAAAAACTACTGTGGTGTGAGATTTCTGCCTCATCCATACAAGAGGTTGAGAAAGTTCAATAATAATATTTGCAGAAAAAACAAAAAGAGTCAGCAACACACCGTTGGGAGTCTTTGTGTCCAATTACATCAATTAATTCAATTAAATCTGAAGACTACCCGGGGTAGATACATCTGATGACCTATTGATTTATGAACTATTCATGGTGATAGCTAACATGTTTCATGTAGTGATGCTTTTTACCTATGCTTGTCTTTAATAATGATTTGAATTTGATTTATCATCTGAAATTGTTCTTAAATACATTTTGTAAAGAGTTATGAGGGAATGGATAGCAACTGTAATCCACACAAAGTTATGAAACATCAGATGTCTTTACGTAATTATTTACCAATTCTGGGATCATTATTAATATAATATATTTTATTTTCTTATTTTCCTTTGCCACCATCTGCGGTTCAGTTTATTTGTCAAAGATAGCAGTAGATAGTTAAAATGAAAGTGTAAGGACTACAAATATTATGTTATTCGTGGTAATTTTCAAATATAAACATGCTCTCCAATATATCACATAAATGTTTCCTTGATACTAAACAATAGTTAACATAAAAAGTTAACAAACAGAACTATTCAATGTTGTGGAGCACAGCTAAACTGGACTTTAAGACTTCTAAGCAATTTTTTATTCACTAAAATGACAGATGATGTTTTATATGGATATGTTTTACACAACTTCTGATCTGCTATCATAAGCAGCATGGTAGGTATTTAACTTTCTAAGAACCCCTGAAATGCACTAAAAAGATTGGCCAACTTCCGACTCATCCATGTTGAAAATTAGCACAGTTTGATAGATTCTGTCTAGACAGGACATAGATTAATTTTTCTAACAGTACCCTCCTATAGGGAACAAAGTTCACATTTAAAATGATTATTTTGTCTTTGTGCCACACATAGTGTTCACAGCAGTGTTAACAACTATCGTTGTGGCTTTTTCCTGCCAAGGCATATAAATCCTAACGGGTGCACTGGTCTGGATCAGACTTGGTTATACAAATCCTTTACAACAGTTACTAACTACTAAAAAACACCTTTCTCTTTGTATTACAAAGGGATTCTTGACTCACATCAGCGAGGTAGATCATGAATGTAACATTGCTTCCAACGGCAGCACTGAGCTCTCCGTGACTGGTTGACAGTCTAAGGCCTCGGGGTGCTTTGGGCCGGCATACTTCTCTCTTAGGCGAGTACACATTCCTCCCTCCTTCCTTACAGTTATTCGACAAAACCTTCCGATACCTTTCATATATAATGAAAAAACAGGTTAGATTGAGCAGGTCAGATTCCGCATGCATACAATGAATGCTGTATATGCATGCATACTGTATGGATGTCATATATTGGCTCTGCATTAGTACTTTTAAAGGGACTGAGACACTGTGTCATCCATACTTTTAGCTTCACAGAGCTGTTTTTCCTCTCCAAAGGGCAGCGAACCACCATTTTATGCTTTTATTCCAGACAATACGTCAAACAAGGTGGAATTGAATAATGCTGTTGTGTGATGGACTGAACATTGGGAGCCCACTTACCCTGTGCTGTTAAGGAAACTTTGGCTGTTGCTGCAGCTTTTAGTTGCACCATTTGGATTAAACCAAAAAGCAGGAGAGCACTTCCCATCCGCCTGGCGTTCCCACCCGTAATCACTGCCAAAGGAAATAAAAAAGAGCAAAACGCAAGACTTCATGAAATGATAAACAGTGCTACTCAAAATAATCTACAAGCTTTAGTGGGGCAAATGCTCTGTAGTTGGAACGCCCTGGAATATTTTAAGACCATGACTAGAGACGTGATTGTCAGACAAGTAGGATCAAACAGAATTTAAGATGGATGGATAAAAGATATTTAAAATTCATTTAACAATTCATTATTAATTGAATTCTAATAAGTCACTTGACATTATGCAAATCACAGTATCGTGATTAAAGGTTCTCAGCTCCAATCTACATTCTTCAAACTATAATTAGAATTACATTTTAGTAAATATGCAGTGTTCACTATTGAGACATATGAGGTTTTGCAAACTGATACTTCAGATTTTCTATGCATCTACAGACAAGCATCTTAAATGACATACAATCAAATTAGATGCACAAAGCGAAGCCACTGTTTGATAAACATGTTATGAAAGAAAAGTTACTTAAAGTAAGATATGATTACAGTTTTGGATGGAAACAATAAGGAAGGAAGCCAATACCATTCAAAATCAAATGATGTGCAGGGGCATGGATCAGAGGAGTAGATCCTGGAATAGTCTTGGGTCAGCATGCATCGGTTTCCAGGCTTTCGTTTCATATACGTCTGCTTCTCACCCATTACACACTGCTCACCCTGTCGAACAACGAAAGGGAAAGGTGACACAAACAATATAAATTTTGTTTTAACCTTTAAGTGTGTTTGCAAGCATACTATTTATGCTGAGCTGGGATCAGATCTAGAAAGTTTAACATTCCTACCTTGTTATACAGGTGCCATGTCTGATAATCTCCATCCATGCATCTTCTGTTAAAGAGGCCCTTGTAGTCAATCTTGATAAGCTGCCACTCTGATCGATGGCTGAAGTGTCCAAAGAAACTAAAAGATGATTAATGGAAGAAAAAAAAAAACTAAATGAAGCTGACATCATAATTCATGCAACTCTGAAAATGTGTAATTTTATGCACAAAACACAACAGTCCATGTGATTAACACTGAACAGTTTTGTCCTGTTGTTCATGCGGGTGTCGCTTTTCCAACTAGAAGTCACCTTGTTACAGACAATGAAACCTATATGCCTTGTCAAGGCCACTGCCCAAACATCGACAGCTCAAAGAACATGAAAAGGACCCAAGTGACTGATCTTCCCTCCAACTCCCAGAGCCCTATCTGACCTAGCTTTCTATAGGATGTGGCCCACCCCACAACCTATAGGAGCTATAGGTCAGAACTGATGTGACAGCTCAAATGGGACTTGGAATATCGATCAAGTGGTTTTAATACTATGATTCATTTGCAATGATAAACAAGTTATTATATTCTATGCATGGTATCTGTTCAGGTTGCACCTTGTGACTCTGCTTACGTGATAATATGATTGTCAGACTCTGGCTCCATTAAAACTCCATCCACATACAGAGGTGCCAAAGAAAAACTGTGGCGATCCCATTTCTTTCCTTCATCTAGACTGATCCTGAATGAGAGAGACAACAGTTGTCAATGCGGAAATATCAATGTATCCGTGTTTATATGTCTGCAGTCAGCGGATTATATCGTTTTTGTCGTGCGTACATTATACATCACAAGCACACAGGTTGAGCGATGGCAAAAATTCAAATAAATATGATAAGATATTTGAGGTAATTTAGCTTTTGCCATGTCTGAAAAACGAAGCATGTTGGAATGTGTTTGATGTGAAAAATTGTCTTGACAACAGAAAGAACAATAGAAAAAAATGTTCCTCAGCTCAGGTAAATTTTTAATGGTGACAAACATCAGAACGAGAGCTATGACTCAGGTGCTAACATTAGAAATAGATTCACGGGGGGGGGGTGGGGTTCAAATCACCTTTCTCGGAGCTTAATCACTTTTGACAGGGTTGTGGTGTGCGGGGACATCAAAGTAGATTTTGTTACAAAGCTCTTATTCTGTGATGGACTTATGAGGGCATTTTTGAGTCTCATATTTCCACCATGCTCTACTTCTCATTTACATAAAAGCACTCAAACCTTCATATCCAACCAAGAGTACAAAGCTGTAACGCACTTTCCTCTGTCGGAAATGACAGTTCTGAAGCCACAGTGCTGACAGAATAATCAAACAAACTTGGCCCATCAACATTTGAAAACATTAAATGTAATCATATGCTGCACCACCAACCCACGAAAGAAAATAACACCCAGGTAATTTTCCACTACAACTCTAACAGCTACAGTTCCTACCTCCAGCATGCCTTTCTGAGGACAAACTACACCTACCACAGGTGTCGAATCGGTGTCACTGCGTGCTGAACTGCCAGCAAAGCCCCTCCATTGTCGAGAAACCAAATGTTGAACTCTTCATCAAAAATCTACGACGGCACACATAGACATAGATTTGCACGTGTTACTAAAGTACATTTCTGATTAATGCAAAGACTGTGCAGATGGATCATACCTGTCGCCAGCTATTCCCTGCATCAGATGTTATAAACATCCCAAGGTTGGTGGAGGACAGCTCTGTTCCAATATTCCCTGAGTTTGAAAACATGAATAATTTCAGTCAGCGTGTCTATACAAAGTAGGCCCGTAACACATCTTTTGTGTACATAATCAGCTGATCGTTATTTATGAGCCTGCCTTTGTTTTCTACGAGAGGACAATTTCATGATATTGTTTGACCTAATCATTCTTCTACTAAATAGTTGTAGCAACAGTTTTTGTATTTTATTTCTGTAACAAAAAAGAAAGCTCTACATCTAGTTCTGTATGTTTGTCTCCATGCATTGTAACTATGTTTTTAACTGAAAAGCAACATACCACCACAAATGCACATCTTTTAAATGAATATACCTGTAGCCACAATGATTCCTGGTACAGATTTTTTGCTGGTGATGGGTCCAGAAGTATAAGGATTCTCTGACATCTCCAGATGAAGATGCAGTGAACAAAATGGCTGTCAAAAATATGATATGGCACACATACAAGTTGAAACAGCATGTATCTGAGATCTAAAGAGAGACAATGTAATTAGCTTTACTTTCATGTTATGCTTCCCATTGAGAGAAAAGTGCTAACATTTTCAGATACCATTTACTACTCAAAGATACTTTGTTCCCCAAGAAACAAGAAAATGGCTGAGAGGACATGGAGGGCATTTGAATTGTTCCATTCCAAAGCAAACAAGGCATGTAATTAAAATTCCCCAAGATGCACTGATAAAACCAGCAAAATTGATTCAAATCATTTCACTCATTTCCCTGACTGAAGCAAACTGAAAAACATCAATAAGGATTTTCAAAGAGCCGAGGTTGTAAGGGAGGGGGGGGGGCAGACAGACAGACTGGTCATTTGTATACCACACTGCAAGATTGTAACCTGCTATTAACAGAATAATACACATTTGCTCTCTGAAAGGACAAACTGAGTGGATAAGGTGCTATCATAGCTGAATGAATAACAACAGAGCCAAATAATGTAATTCAGGGTAATCTAACATTCATTAGTCCACCGTGACTACAGGTAGTAAATTGAAATCACAAAGGTTAATGGAAAGTCAGGACCCCTGAAACTAAATGCGATGACACTGCGCCTTACACTGATAATAAGAATATTTCAGCCAAGCATCTCCTCGACCATTTATGAAGCTAAAAAGGCAAGTTAATGCTGAAGCTGGCACCTGGCTGCGCGCAAATATGGCTCAGAGTCAAAAACAAAGTACAGCTGATGAGGTTGAAACGTTTGATGAATGATATATGTCATGAGCTTAATTCAGCATGAATGGAAGCATCTATTCACTTCCACCCAAAGGCTTAAACTCACCAGAATGCAGTGGAGGTTATTACCAGCCACATCAGTGGCAGGAGCTTGCAGCAGGGCCCATGTTTGTCCCTTGTTGTATGTGATGAAGGTTTTGATGTGATTATCTACCAGTTTGTTGGCAAGATACATGCCATTTATCCCCTCAATCTAAAGAGAAAAATATAATGTATACAAATCTCAATAATATTTGCAATGGCATACACTTCATGGGTTAAACAATTTTCAACCTGAGATTGTCAAATAAATTATAGGAAGATTTTATTTTATTAATAAGTCATGTAAATCGAGTTATTATTTTAGTCTACCATATTTTTCCAGGACCATTTAGGAAGTGAAAGGGGCTGGTGCACAAAAAGCAATAGTCCTTGAACACAGCTGACAACAAACCTTATAAAAGTCGACCAGTAGGTTACCAGCAGGTCCTCTGCTGGTTCTCAGATTCTCTAATGAAAGGATGAAGTAAACCCCCGGGGAGTCTGAGATGTACAAGCTGTAAGTATTGTTCTGATTCCACTCCTGCACAGCCGCAAATACCTGCTTCTCATCTGTGCTGATAATATGCATGTCCTGTAGCACGAGAAAGACAGACAAATGCGGAGGATTACAGAGGCAGGCAATCAAATGCTAAAAAATCTTAAAGCACTGTGACACCTTTTCACTAATTATCGTGCAGCTTGTCCTTCACAAGAGTATAGGGAAAAACATCAGATTCAAAACAAAACAGAAACACTTTTTCTTGCAATAACTTTATGTCTTTGTGGCTCACCTTTGGCAGACAATATTTTGGTAATTTCATTTGCTTGAAAGATTCTCTCATGTAGGAGACAAAATAGCTGGCTCGTCCTGACTTGGTTACCTTTGTAATAATTAGAAAAAAAACGATGTCATGCTCTTTTCAGATCACCATTTAAAAACACAAAGTAAGAATTAATCTGTAAATGAATCATTAAGAGATGGTTGTTGTATGACAGAAAAACAAAATGGTGAGTGAAAAAAACAAAAAATAAAATTAGCTAAGCCTACTTTTTAAAATTTTTGGCCTTATTAACGTGATATGGTTTTATTTCATGCCTTTACTTTTTGCACAGTGCTTTCAGCAGCTTGTGTCTTCAAATAATTGGAAGAGTCCATTTGCTGGCCCGGGCTTCATAGCTATTGTGCATGTGAAGTGAGCATCAGAATCTAGCATAAACAAACAGTCATGGGCAAGGTGGGTGTGTTTACCTCTTGTGAAGATATAAGAACTGGCATGTATAGTTTATGGTTATCATGACGTAAAATTCTATTTCGTAAACCGTAAATGTTAAAACTTAAACAGAAGAGCCCAAAAAATACAGACCGCAAGACCACTTCATTTGTAAAGTCCCTGTTTTGCAGATTTGACATTTTCTGTGCTCTGTCCCATTTTTAGTCACCATTTCTGCTCTTAAGAGGCCAGTCCCTCAGGACACACTTCCTCAACTGCAGGACGGGTAAGTAACAGTGCTGCAACATGCCCGTCCTGCAATGTTCTAACGCTGTGGAGAGTAAATGTGTTGCTTTTATGATGTCTCTCAATGCAACTGTGCATAATTTAGCTCTGATTTTGTGATAATGGGTCTTGAGTTCACCCATGTGTAGAACTATGCCAGAATAAAAACTGATTATTGGAGAGAGATAGAAACAGCAAGGCAGTACCTCTCCTGAGAGTTACATGAATATCCATTCTTATAACTGAGAGCTGTTTTGTTACGGCCAAAATTTGACAATTTTGAGAACTTTCAAGAGGACTAATATGTACCTGACCTTGACGCTGGCAAGCATGTTTGTGGACTGTATCAAGAGAGTACTAAGTCTAGTTCAGAACCACAGAACCCTGCTGCAAACCTGGTGATAACCCAGACAGCGCGTTGCTTTCATTCATCTAATTTTTTCTTTACGTTCTGTTGGACTTATTGTAGTCTATTCCATCTCATGAAGGCAACATTACTCCGATCTCAGTCAAGTTTTGCTTGACCAATAAAACCATTCTCCACTGGTCAAATAAAAGGGAAAAAAAGATAAAATTGACATGCCTTATGCACTCTCATGCAGATCGAGGAATGTATGATCTGATGCATCATCACAGAGAAGATATGTTGTGACTATACTTTTCCACATATAATAACGAGAGTGAGTTTCTATCTCAGATGTAACTCTGTTCCAAAATGAAGGAGTGAAGCTAAAACATTCTCTGAAGGAGATGAATTAACTCACAACACCTGACTGATTTGATAAAAGACTTGCAGTTTTACTCTATTTTCAAGGTGTTGAAGGATGAAAGAAGTTACACGCTCAACAGGAATGAATACCACTATCTTAATTGATCCAAGACGCAAAGAAAATGTTGCAGTATCTTACAGATTAATGCAATATTACCATCCCATGCACTTAGGCGGGTCAACGGTACTTGATTACTTATTTTCTAATCAACTAGAAATATAGTGTTTGTCCCCCAACACACTACATTAGGGTTCTAATGGAATAATCTATCAAAAATCAATGAGCTGCATTTTCCCAGGCCGCATTTTCGAGGATGTTGCACTTGGCTGTTCCTTCTCTCCCAAGAGACTTTGAAGGTGTTGGAGACTGCTTATTTCGTTGTAGCCCAATCGATAACCTCATTACTCTTTGTCAAGTTAAATCCAACTGCCCCAAGCATTGAAAGTCACAAGAAAGTCATCTGGGCCACCACAGCTCCGCTCATACACCGCGTGTGTGTGTCCAGTTACATTCACCAGAATCTTCCTCACGTCTGCCTCTGCCTTGACGGTCAATCTCATCTCAGCTAAATGCACCATTTCTGTGGTGCGCCTTTTTTTAAAACACATTTTCATTCTGAATTGTAACCATTCCAATCGAGCGTGTGGATTAAGTGTGTTGAAAACGAAACTGGGTCACCACTGAAGTATTTGCTTCTGCAACATCATACCATTTCTCAAGATAAAATCTATGGATAACAAAATCAAAAAATGAATGTCAAACATCTTGAGGTACTTATCAAATGAAAATGTGAACACATTACAAACTTCTCTCATTCTATTTTCACGTTCTTGAAACTTAGTTACTCGAACGAAAATGACCAAAAGTATCATGCCTGTCCAACAGATAGAAAATGACTTAGCAGGGGATGGAAATCAATGACAGTGGAGGGCATTTGGAAATTAAATTTCTGATAATGACCCTGACTGCAGCTGTCTAATTGGAGTCAAAGTCAGAGTGAGGGGTAATAAGGACACCAACCTATCTATTCATTCTTCCTTTGCCATGTGTTCACCATGGAGGCGCATATTTTTCAGTATGTATCCACGGAAACTCAGATGCTGAGCGTTTCCTCGCGGAATGAGAACGAGACAAAACATAATCGAAAATCGTGGACCGAGAGGGGAACAGGTGTGCCAGGAACAAAAAGAAAAACCATACGGCAATTTTGATGGAAAAGCATGAACTGTGTAACATGAGTGAGCAAAACTAAACAAAAAAAGGGATATAAAGCAGAAAATAAAAGTTTACAGAGAGAACAGCCTTTGAATAAAAAATACAACTAAGTTACTTTGAATAAAAAAGTAATGTATTATTATTCAAACCTGTGTAAAAACATATTCATCCTGTACAACTAGTGAGTTGGTGTCTACGTGTCCTGGGAAAAGATAGTGTCTGTTGCCCTCTGTGCATCTTTGGGCTCTGCACTTCACATACTGAGCACCTGGAAAGAGGCAAAAGGAAATCAATCAGTGGCAAATTACTACTATCTACATTTTAACTGTACTCTGTATGCACTTGATCAGCATAGTTCACCTTTTAGGAACAATATTAAAGCTTTCTAAATGTTGAACAAGTCTGTGGATTTACAAGTATTTGCAGCTAATACAACCCTCAGCAGAATTTCTGGCACACTTTATTTATTAGCACAGAATCTATTTTCTGAACTAAATGTAAATAAACTAATTTAGTATAAGGATATTTAAAAAAATACCCAAAGTTTGCTAAAGTTCAGTTGAATAAAAATGATCAGACATGCAAAGTACAAAATAAGTCATTTTTGGCACCCTATTAAAAACTTAAATAGCTTCCCCAGACAAAATAAAGACAGATTAACCATAATGCTCAAAGAAAACAGAGGCTCTGATGCAGATCAGCTTGGGAACATCAGAAATAACATGACTAAAATGAAGTTTGGGGTGATATTTTTACCACCAAATGTACAAACATGGAATAGAAGAAGAATTAAACAAATCTCTAAAAGAATATGAAAAAAATCTGAATTTCCCAGGTCAAAGCAAAATAACAATCTAAAACACACCTTGTCTTTTCTATTTTGTGCTTAACGTATTTGCATATTTTCTATATATTTACCCTTCTGGTTGTTGATCTTCCTGCACTTACAGTTAGGCAGTTGCATTACAAATTTGTGGTAACATTTAAAGATATGGGCCAAAAGTGAAATAGTGAAAAAAACAGCATTACTGTCCAGTATAAATTTGTTTGGACACAAAATTGTACATTTACTTGCTTTAAGGGTGTCTTTGGCAGAGCTGACCCTGACCTCTACGTCCAGGACCGTCATTAAGAAAATAGGAAGATGTAAGGACCATTTTCCTCTGTGCGGGGCCACCCTAGCATGCCATGGTTTTCAATTATGTGGCTCAAAACCCTCAAACATGTCAGAGAACAAAATCATGAATAAATAAAGACTTACTGACCATTTGGTTATACCAAAGCTGGTGAAAGAAAAGCAGACAACTCATGCTCACATCTGATTGGCACAGTGGACCTTGGGTCAGAGCTTGAAGCCTGATTTGCTCAGAGCTATAAGGAATTATTATGACTATCTAGACAGAACAATATAGCAAATGAATTCAATAATTGGAATTTAAAAATATAATTATTACATAATAAGACCCTGAGAAGAAACATTTTGGTGACAGATTTATGGCTCTCAATGACAAAAAAGAATAAATGAAAGAGGTTAGAATTCAGCCATCAAAATACTAAATAAAGTAATAAAGTAGAATGTGAAATGGATTCATGGAAGTATTTATTTTTTCATTGTCATAAATTTGTACCTTAAAGATACACTGATATGAAAACAGACTTATTATGTTTCTGAAGAACTTGAGAAAAATTGAGTAAAAAGTGTGCCAAGTGAAAAACTGTGTAAAAAAGATTTCTGGGTGTGACTGTGTTGAAAACAACAGCCTCTGTACCACTTCAGGTACAGGTATCTCCTCACAGGAGTGTGCATATTTTTTTCCAAGCATGAAGCCCACACAATTGGTTTGATAAAAAATATGCAACACTGTTTAAGAACAAGGGAGCTAAGATTTGTCCATGAAACACAGGGGACAGATTAGGAGGAGGAAACATCCATCAGCCCACTAAAACTCTCCGTTTTTGCTAGAAGACACCTATTCTCCTTTACAAGGCTTCAGGGACCAATCTGAGCAGCAGAACAGGTCTCATCTTGTCCATGACCTCCCTCTAAATGAGAAGCAAGAGGTCCTGTGGGTCTTGAAACTGCAGCGAACTGGAGTGCAACACTCACGGCCTTTTGCGAAACGTGTTTCAATGTGGACCACATCTGATTCTCTGTCCAGCCCCATAACCGCCCTTGAAAGAATGGCAGGAAGAGAAGATAGAGGGGAACAGAAATAAGCTTCGTAGACAAGAAAGGGATAAAATAGAAACTTAAAACAGTATGCATGTATTACAACTAAATCAGTCATTGTAGAATAAGTGATAGTAACTACAATTAATCTCAATTCACAAAGTCAAAAACAAGGAGAAACATAACAGAACATCCACTCCTCCCATAAACGTCTCTCATAGTAAACATGAACTGTTATAAAACTGCAGATGGCTTCAGCAGCTTTTTGAAAAACAACTTTTTGACAGAATCTGCATGAAAGACTAGTCTGCACACAAATAATGGATTGTTTAGGGTGCTGCTGTGCCTGCTGTGCTCTTCTAATTTATGAAACATCTGACTGTTCACGCATGTGGAGATGTCCTCCAACCAGTGTCCTTTCTTTACCGGCTAGAAAATCACACTTGGTTGGAGACATACCATAACAAACAGAGTAAACATGCTCAACATCAATATTCACTGCCTTGTGCCCATGCAGTTGAGATTACTAAATGACTGTGACAACAGAAACAGCGTGTCGTGTTTGTGTTGCAAAAAAAGAGGCACAATATTATTTAAACTACGTGACCTGAATTGAATCCGTTTTGTGCTTGAGTGTCATGGGACAGATCTGTTTTTGACAAGACATCACTAGATTCTTGCATAGATAGCCCATGAACATCATCATTATGCAAATTACAATCAATCACTGCACAAAATACTGCAAGAAATGGGTCCATATAATCATACCAGTAGAATCTTCCTGGCATGACGTTGTCGTGAACAAGCTGCCATTTCCTCCCAAAGTCCATTGAACTGTACAGCTGCGAGACAAAATTATACCCATCTTCATTACACATAATGTTTTAGGAGAACGTTATTGTTAATGAGCACTACAATCTAACCAACAGAAAAAGCTAAATAATAAACTATTCTGCATCGTTCATGACTTATTTCACCTTCAAATATGATTTCAGATTTACTGAAAAGCTACCTTGTTGTCATGACTGTAAGCCAGTATCCAGTTCTCCTGTGCCGGGTGGAAGAGGAGGCTAAGGATGTTGAAGTTAATGGGATACTTGTCAAAGCTCGCCCCTTCATCTGAGCTGATGAGAACAGCACTCTCTACCTCAGGGTCGCTAAGCACCATTATCTAAAGTACAGAAGGCCGGACGAGAGATACAGCAGTGGAAAAGGAACAGAGAAATAAAGTTACCTTTATTGGTGGTCATTTGAAGATACTGTAATTTGATGTCAGGACTGAGCTTACACAAGAGCAAATACAGATAAAAGCCACGGAGAATTGCTGACCTTCTGCTTGTTGGTAGGGCAGACATACAGGTAGCTTAAAACCGTCCTCGAACCCACTTTGGCATTGAGTTTAGTATAGGTGCTGCCATAATCAGTGGATCTAGACACAGACCAACAACATTGCATTTTTGATTAAAAAATCCATTAGAGAAGCATGGAGGAGGTTTGGAATGTTTTAGCCCATTAACTGCAAATCACTTTCTTCCTTAGAAGACTGCCTCTCCACAGCCTAGCATACATTTATAGATTTATTTTCCACCATAATGGTCGGATTTGCTGTAATAAAAGGATGAAAAACAAGTTGCGGAGCGTACCATAGCATGGAAGTTTTGTACCATTGTTGTTCCTGTTAAGTATTGCAATCAATCTAATCACACATATGTGGCACGGGTGGGCAGTTAAAGGGAAAACAGAACTGATAGGTAGGAATGAAAGACAGTTTCAGTTTTACTGAAACTGTCTTTAAAAATCTGTTTCTGAAAAAAAAGATTATTCACATTTGCTTCACTTTCAGTTACACTTGACCAGTTGTAATCAATTTAATATTTGGGGTTGGACTTTTTAAGACAGGCAGCGTAAAATGGGCAAATGAGCGGCACAACGAAACAACCTTCATAACTGGGTATAAGTGTAAACCTAAAAGCTTAATTGAGTTCTTTACAGTCACTAAAAATATATTTTTACAACATATGATTACATTAATTTCAATCAGTTATTTTAAATATTCAAGTTACTTACATAATATCCTCGTCTCACCTTTTAAACATTGCCTAATGTAAGTCTAATTTAATAAAAGCTTTAGTAATTAAGACAAAAATTAAGAGAAAATGGCCCAAAATTTTGATTAATTGGAGACATATAGGGACTTGTGTAAAGGATTAGAACAAATTGCTGTTATGATTCTGGCTTATTTCTAACATTAGTAAAATGAGCAGAATAACTCCTTATCATATATTACTGGAATTATTGAATATGAAAATTCAATATGAAATGAAAGCTTTAGTTATTTCATCTTCTTTTCTTTGTACTGTGGAGGATGAACATTCACTTAAATCTGATTAGCCCCGTGCAGTCCCGTGAGGTGATGTTATACCTGACTGTCTCATTGGCTTTAATCTTAGCTGTAGTTATTCAACCTGCAATATGTTGTAAAGATAAAGGAAAAAAAATTCAAATGAGATTAAATGATCCAGTTCCTGGCCTTATTAATAATAGATCTATGCTTCAATAGAATATAATTTGCTGAAGCCAGTAAACATACTTACACTTCACAGGGCTGCATCCCATGACAAGGACAGATGTGTTTGTCATCCCCGTCTTCATATATCTTCTCAGCCCAAACAGCAAAACCACGCTCTCAGTTCTACCTGGGTGCCTCTAAATGTAATTCCGCTGCATAATTGGATGGGCACCCAAAGCCTGCTGTCATTGTCTATGCATTAACTCGAATTGTACCATTTGCTGTTGACATTGTTTTCATGGGCCTACTCCTGAACACATTTGTATGTGAACTTAAGTACTCCGCTCCATAGGTGTAGCTGTCTGTGATTGTGGGAGGAGGATGAAGGCCTCTTAAATGATCCCATTAAGTGGTAAAAATTTCAACTCCAAATCCAAAGAGATTCAACGCACTTATAAATCTCTCACGCACGTCACCCACTGATCCGCAGATGTTTAGCTTTGCCTCCAACAGGGGCCTGCAGCCGGTGACATCAATCATTTACTGTGTTATCACCAAAATCATTCACTCCCTTTTCTTTTCATAACATTCAGATTGCTAGTTCTCTAATACCCATACAAAAAGCCTTTGTCGAAGCCCTGAGGTACCCTAATTTACTCGTAGGCTATTGTTAAGCAGACACCTTGATGATGGAATGTGTCCTGTACACAATATGGGATTTCAAAGTGAGTCAAGTCGGGTGTAAATCTTAGTGGCGCCTCTGGAGAAACAGATATTAATTTGAAACTCGATGCTTGGCAGACTGATGGTCCCTTTTTCACGTATATTTCAGAATGAAATGAGTTCTCTGCAGGCTGTCGGAGAGGTGAGAGTAGGCACATCAGAGGCTGGATTGGGCTCTGTGGTATAATCCTTAATGAATTCAATTCTTATTTATGACCTGACAGGGCACTGTAACTCACTCCTCAACACATACTGAATAAAATTACTATGGCTATATAGTAGCGATTGCATGTCAATTGCTTCAGAAACAAAAGGTTACAGATGACAATCAATCAAAAAACTCCATCAGAAAGTTTCTAGGTCAGAGGAAAAGCACCACAGATACAAACAAAGAAGCACCCACATCAGTCATCCAGTTTATCTTTTAGAAATAGCCTTTCAAAAAGTTTCTTTGTCAATGATGGGCAGAATGTGGAGCACTTTCTAAAAGGTTGCTGTGGTGTGTTTCTTCTGTTATTTATGTGGTTGCAGGAAGCTGGGGAGGGGGGGGGGGTTCAATCTGAACAACTTCAGAACACTTTATTAAAACATACTTCATAGTGGCCTCCAGTGAAACTTGATTGTTCATATCCCAGACAGGAAGCACACAATAAATCAGACTTACAGCACACAACACTCTCTATGAATATATTATTCTTATTGTTTTTAGGCTGATGCCATAACCTTTCTATTTGGACTGAAAGGGGAAGCAGATGTGATTAAAACAGGAAAACATACCTCCAGAGCGAGCTCTCGGTAACAGCACCCAAGTTGAAGTCATACAGCTTAGTCAAGATCAGGATCACCTGCAACAGCAACAGACACATGTAATTACATGCCAAAATCTGCATTAGAAGAATACCGCATAAGTGCCTCACCATCACACATTAGCTGTCTACATCTAATGGTGTGGAATGAATACAACATGTCTGCTACATTTCTTTACTATTAAATATCATCCTCATAGTTATGGTACTCCAATGACAAGTAATCTTCGCATTGGCAGAATATGTCTTTCTAATGGTAGTAAGATCTAAAAGTGGTGGGAAAATACAGACGGACTGTCAAGATTCATGTCTGTATCTCATGTGAAATGATATGCACTTGACATGAAAATCTTAACATAATTGTTCATTGAACAATGAAGAGAATTGCTCCACCCACTTTCGCTTAATTTATTTCTCTTAAAAACCCTTTCAACCATGTGTATAACCTGTAGCAGCTTTTATATGAACAAATGGTGATCTCAAATGCTGATGGTAGATGTTATGTAACTTATTTAACTCATTACCCAGTTTGACCGAAATATTTTTTGCATATTCTCTGAGTATTATCGGACTTTGGGTTTCTGAGGAAACAAAAGAGGGCTTTAAACCCTCCCAAGGTTGAGTGTGCAGAGTGAATGGTGTGCAAACTCATTATTGACACTCCAATGGCATTGTAAATGTCTTCCCATTGGGATGCACATAATTCAGGATGGTACGAGGGGTAGGGTAGAGATTCTGGGGCAGGGCAGAAAGCCAGGGAGAAAGGTGATGGATAATAACAATCAATGGGGCAAAAACATGACTTAATGTGATGAATTCTTTTTTTAAAGCAAACCCTGAAAGATAGGTCGAAAGCTCAATTACAGGGAGTTTAAACACATTAACCTTATGAGACCCGTGGAAGGAGTTATTAAACTGTGAAAAGACACACAAGACTTGAGGAACAAAGACATGCCACTAAGTCTGCTTTGAGAATTTTAAAAACCCAATTGACCCACAATTTAGTCATCAAACGGCCACTGTGCAGAGCTGGGACTATCTGCATTACAGGTTAATTAACCAATCACACAGAGAGATAAGCATTTGCATAACTAAATGCGCTATGTCTGCAAGGTCCAATACTGGAGTCTGAATCAATTTGGCGTACAGACTTAGTTAAATGGCTGTGATGTTGAGCCTAATTGCCTGCTTTGAAATATAGATACAAGCGAAAAACTCTGCCAAACTGTTGATTGGTTGTCCCCACAGCTCTCCTTCGCTAACAATGGTAACTCCATGACACTGGATGCTATAAATACCGCAAGTCAAATTAAATATGGAATTGTTTTAGTTGGTTTCAAACAAGAAGCAGTTTCATTTTCATACAGCCAACCACATGCTGACATTCATCTACTGGAAGAATGTACAATAAAAATACATATTATCTAGTTTGATCGTTATCAGCTGTTTCTGCTGTTCTATTGATATAATTGAATCAAAATATGTAACATTTCATGACATAGTGACATGAATAAACAATTAACATAACATTATATGAAAAAAGAAAGCAGCATTTTAGCATGTTTTCGAAAAAATGGCACTAATGAAAATGTGTTGTGATTTCCTGTGTTGTGTGTTGTGAAAGGCTTTGTTCAGATCAGATGTACTCCCTGACATGCTTTTTGAATTTTCCATTTTGTTTTTGCAGTTTTGTCTTGAGTTGCACATCAGGGCCACCCACATGATGACAAAAATCCTCTTGGCACCCAGGCTACAACTGTGATTAAGCGCTCTTCCTTAACTGTTGTCAACATATTTGTGTATTTGGCTCATTAACAAATGCTAACCCGCTGAAATGGGTCAGTAAAGATACACCTCTGGGACAAAAGCAGACTAGTGAGGCAGATGATGATTTGGATGATTTCTCCCTAACCGAATACGTCAAGAGTACATCGCTGGAGATTGTTTTCCGTGTTCAGCCTTATTGATGCCTGTGCATCTGTGGCTTAAGCCAGCAGGGAGCAACTATACATGCAGAGACCACTTAGACAAACGCATGACCAGCCTGCCAGTATGTGTGATTTCTTCGGCTAGATTCTAGAAAAAGAAGCTGCATTTAACACGCAATTCCATGAGTTTATGTAGAAGCCTTGCTTTATGTAAATTCTGGCAACAAACAAACACAGAATGTCTTCCAGAATTATTTTGAGCCTTCAAGGTAAATACAATTCTCCATGCATATCATCGCTCACTTGCATTCATAAAATCAAGTAAGAACCCTGGAAGGCCGAAAGTGGTGCATTTATTCATGTTTATGTTTTATTGATGTGAGCAAAGAGAGCTTTGCCTGGAGAAAGTCAACCAATCATTTTTCAGATTGGCTCTCACCCTCCAAGGAGTTGGGTTTAGTCATTCTGTCATCCAGGCATTCTATTCTTGTTTCTCTCTTTCCCTTCTTTGCTCCCCCTTTTTTGTCTTACATTCATTCTTTCAATTTCTCCTCTTTTTTTCTTTTTCTTTTAACTTTAGAAGCAGGCTGTCGGTGCTTTTCATTTTGCTGCAATATATATATTTTTTAAAGATGAAAAGGTTTATCAGAGTCAGCGTTGTTTGGGCATGCAAAGATTTCAAATCTCTCAAATAGCTGACTGGACAGCCACCATAGCAACAAAGGTGTCACTGCCATAATATCAGTGTGATATACTGTGTCAGCTCAAAGCAAGTGTCTCATCTTCGCAGAGACCCACACACTCCAGTGGCAGAAGTGTTGAGGCATGCAGTGTATGCAGGCACACTGTTGGACCAGATCATGTGTTCACAAATTCTATATAAATCCCCTTTCTTTTTTTTTCAAAGATGAATGCTCAAATAAAAAGATGCTTGAGTTGGACGTGAGAGTTTTCTCAACCACATGTTGTTGGGCAGAGAATTTTCAACATGGTGTTTGAGTTAGACTTGTACCATCTCTGTACTATTTGGTAATATTGCTATTAACGATACATAATAAAATAGTTATGCTGTTATTCAGAGCAATAACATGAAGATTTTCAGTGCTGAGTTTCATTTAACCTGTTGCTTATCTAAATATTGTTTCTGTCTAATTGGGTAGTCAAGGGCAGAAAAAGAAGCCCTCAATCTAAACATCACACCTCCACACTGCCGCTTCTCTCTGCTCAGGAGTTGCACATCACAGGAAGTGGGAAGAATGTGAAGAAATATGAAGAGTCTAGCTACTTTGATGTAGATCTAGAGCTGTTTTTTTTTAACGTAACCAGAGGGGAAAAGTGAAGCAACTAAATTAATTTCCAAGGGACTGCCAAAGTTGATGGCAGTGAATGATGTAAGGCTCTTCGTAAATAATAACAGCTCGTGGCTCATTCTTAGAGATGGATTGACATATGTTGTGTATCTGTTTCAGTTACCTTTAGTCTTTGAGAAGTTTGCTGCAATAGTGACCAACACTTTTGTCCTTATGAATACATGGGTTTGTGTAAGTTGTTATGAGAACAGATCCCCACAGACAGAGCCGTCTCCTGAGAGTAACCCCGTCTGCTCTGCTCATCAGCGCTGAACACAAAATCAAAATGTTTGATAATTAGCTTAAATACATGAACACTAATTATGTATGAAAGCTTTCATACAGTGGTTCTTACAAAACACAGTTAACACTCTCAGAAAACAGTTTTCACTGTATCAGAGCTGATGACAGATTTAACTTTCTCATCATACTCATATCTGTCATATTTGACAAGTCTTGACTGTTGCTATTTAATTCACCTGAGACGGGCACACAAGCATCAAAGGAAACCCAGCTAAATGTGCTTTCAGTGAGACAGTCTTGTGTTCTATTAATTTCAAACTTGAATAAGTTACAAGGCATGATCTATCTGGTTGCTAGCATCATTATGATTTGTCAACAACAGAGCACTTGAAAATGTATCTTATTCAATTATATGTTTCGCAGAACACCAGCTTTGAACTCATTATGGACTTGCCCCTTCTCAAAAACACTGGACTCTAAGAGATTTTCACAAATTTAAAAGACCTGCAGCAGTGCCTTGATACTCACACAGGAAGCAGCACAAATAGGCAAGTCTAAACAGCAGAAATATGAGTTTTTATTATCTCAGTTAGAGGATGTAGAACTCAATTTGTATTTGTCACAGCAAATTTTTTGTGCATTAAATGCATATCAAATATAATATTTGGCTATATATATATATATATATATATATATTTATTTGCCCTTTAATGTATTAATACGACATTTTGATGCCTCAGTGATTGTGGATATTCCTTCAAGTACTTGTACTTTTCTACTTGGTGTTCACAGGCTACAGACCTATTACAGAGATTTATGATATATTATCATTAGGCTACTATAAATGTTATTGTAGTGTAAAAACAGGCTTTCCTTTCAATTTTTTTATGTCTTAACACATGTTTCTGTGATTTCAGTAACTGGGTTTGTCAACCTGCAAGCTGCAGCAAAGTCATGAAGAATCTTGCTTACGCATAAATATTGAAACCAAAAAGAGCAGTATCTTCATTATTACACTTGACTGACAAAGTCATCAACATGAAGGGAATTAATTTTCTATATTGATGAACAGATCAATCTAAACCTCCATCAGATGACTCATGGAAGAGGCAAGAGGAAAAAAATACTGATCCACAAATCTGTTAAGATGTTTTGGAACCCTCTTATCTTGGATTTAGATCATTTAATTTAGATTTAGTTCACTTCAATATTAGCTGCATTTGGTAAAGCCCTAAAAATCAAAAACATTGAAATCTTTATGCATCCTTGGCGCAAAACCTTTGTTTTATTAATAAGTATACAAACATGGAGTAGAAAGCATAGTGCACCCTTCTGAAATGTAGTATGAAAGGTATAAAAACACACGAAATGGAAAAACTTCACGTATAATGTCACTGTAAATGTAACTAATCTTTCAATATGCTGACCTAAAAAAAATCAGTGGAGCCGTATAAAAGACTTATTGAGCTTTACTGTAAAATATATCAAATGCAATGAGGGTAATCAATAAATCAGGTCA